AAAATGGAAAGAAATTGTAAAAAGAATACAAATAAAATGATCGAAAAGTAGGTTTGCTAGATATTTTTTTAGGAAAATACTAATTAAAAGAATTTTAATAGGTATTTAATATTTATTTAAACTGAAAGTCTAATGACGAACTACGTATTAATACAAACATACTACCTCAGAAAATACAATAAAATATTTTGGGTTAAAAATGTTTTTTAGACTACTTGAGGATAAAATTGAGGAGCATAAAAATTATAAACATGGAAGAGTCAAGAATCGAACCCTTGATCTCCTTGTTAAATGTCAAACCGCGCGCGCTTCCGTTGCACCATAAGGTGATTTGGTTTCACGAAGGCTTTGTTTGTTTATATACTAAATATATCAAGGTACCTAATATATATAAGATCCTACGTGGAGGTCCGTGGGGTCCCGGGACCCCGTGGGACTCAACGTGGGTCCGCCTCTGGCCCTATTCTTATCACTCTAATTCTAACTTATAGTAACTGGAGTCTGGAGATTTGATTCTAAAAAACTAGAAATCGGAACGATATTGAAACCTGGATTAGAAAATGGGCTTAGCCTAAGGTTTTTACGGACCATGGAAGGAAGCGCATCATGATGTCACCATCCCCAGTTGCACCACAAGCCCCAATTTCAGAGTCGGCGTATGCCGAAGATCCAGCAATGGGCCCATCACCAATCCTGCACTTATGATACATACACATTCATGCATTCTTTCATTTACTGCCAAAACTTCGTGGAAAGTAAGAAGCAATTAAGGGGGGCTTAATGTGTCATTTTGAATTAGTTCATTATGTGTCCGAAACTAAAATATTGGCAATGGATGAGAAGATAGTAATGTAGGGACTGTTAAGAACGTCTCAATACTACGAATACCTTCCTGGGATCTTGAATGTTGCCCCATTAGTTGAGGTTCCCACCGCGATGCGCCCTTTCTGAAAAGGAAAATTGTTCCATCTTGAGCAAACATAATGAGGGAAAAAATGTAAATTTTTAGGCTTAACTATGTTTTTCGTCTCTGCAAATATGAAATATAATGGTTTTTTAGTTTAGGCTCCTGACAAATTATTCTAGCCTTATTCAACCTTTTTTTTTTGAAAAATGGTTAGAAAAAGCCACACCAGAATTTTATAAGGACCTCAAACAAACAACACTTATTCGAGGGATGAAAAACATATTTAAGCCATATTGAAGGTTAGACTAATTACCTTGTCAACAACTGCCATGGATATTGTGTCATGGTTGCTACGGTCTATGGGAAATGGCCTCAGTTCACTTTGCCTTGTAGAGCACATTCCCTCATCATGATAGAGAGAACCCTTTGGACGGTATGGACTGCATTCGTCAACAGGAGAAACATTTTTCCTAAAATTAGGTTGGCAATTGTTTCCTTTCCATTTCATCAATTTTTCTATTGATTCCGCTGAGCTTAGGTTTGTTGGCCCGGGAAGACCCATAGAAATGGCAAAGTCCGACGCTTTCTCCCCAACAAGCATAGTGTGTTGAGTATATTGCATCACAAGCCTTGCAGCTTTTATTCCATCTTTCACATACCTCATAGCACCAACAGCTCCAACTTCCATTGTCACCTGTACAACAACCATAAACCCAGTAAAATTCTACAAAAAAGTATTTGTCAAATCTTAACCCTACTAGTACTCGATAGTAGTCCATTGTTTCAATGAGGTCCGAGGATGTCCACGAAATCTAAGAAAAGGGTAAATGACTTTTACCCCATTCATTATCATAGCATCGATGGTGGTTTCCCCATTCTCGTCCGGACTTCCACCAGGCCCAACTGAGCATAGAAATGATATTTTGAAACACCCGTTATTTGAAAACAAGTGTCACTATACAAAAGGCCCAGTAAAATCACGCAAAAAATAAGGCCATCCAAGGAACTACACAGTGCAAGAATAATGGGAAAAGTTTTCAAGCAATGGCAGTATTTAGGGCAATACCTGTGCCATCGCACCGTAGTTCTTCACAGGTGGAACAGCCTTCTACCACTGCATCTATAGCTGATGATCCACTATTAGTTGCCTTCCAGGCAGACCTAACGGCTTCTACGAAAGGCCAGGTGCTTACAACTAAAGGGTACTCTTGTGACTTCTCCAACTCGCTTCCCACTGTCTGTGTCCATAAAGTGAATATGTGCTACTAGTTAATTGAAGCAACAACAATAGGGTGATCTTAACCACTTACATATTTCCTAGAAGAGGTTGAATTAGGTTATTGTTTTTTTACTAGTATTAAAAAAAAGTAATGAATGAGCAATTTTTTTGCTGAAGAGTGGGATTCTTTTGATACCACTCATCAGTGTCGTAATATGACATTCATGCCATTTGAGGGTCCTACCAAGTGCCCCATTTGACCCCAAAGTGGGACCTACCCTACTAACTTCCCGGCCCACCCCTTGCCCCTCTTGGGTTTATTGTTATGTTACAGTGGCTAGTGTAGCATAAAGGCGAACTAAAGGAGAGCTAGGGGACAGAGGCGGACTGGGAGTGTTTATAGGGGCAAGGAACTACTTCAGTATCGAACGGAGAAACCCTCAAATGGCCCGGTTTCATATCATGACACCATCCCTTGTTGTCAAAAGCTAAGTTGCACAAAAACGGGGATGGCCGGACGGATACTCAAAATGGGGACACACCAATTCTCTAAATTTTACAAAGAATTTGGGTGTGGATGCATCCCCAAGTAGCCAAATGGGAACTTTTCAGACCCGGGAAGCGAAACTTTCTTGAAAGATTCCGTGCAACATAGGTCACAAGAACACCATACTTGGCTAGAATGGTTAAGATAAGAAATTGACACTTGAACTGCCATTGATAGATGAAAATTTCTTTTGTTTATTGAATGTACTCTGTGTATGTTAATAAATATCTTTTAGATTATCCAACAAATTCCACTAATTTAGTCATTTGAACCACAATATGAGGCTTCTGAAGAACAAAAAACCTCAGCCATATTAGAACTTACCAAATGGGCTCTTAGAGTCTCAGTAAGACAGAGAACAATCTCTTTTCCGTAACCTAAAATGGAAAAAATTTCAATCTTTTGTCTTGTTTTACCATTCTGGCATCCAAATAAATTCAGACAAGCTTAAAGCAAACAGACCGAATGAGTAAAGATTCAATTTTTTTCATTCTTTTTTATACCAAGAACCATCCAGAACAAGAATTCCGAGAAGGATATTGATGAATCAACTGTAAAATATATCAGAGAATAAAGAAATTCGAATTACCAAGATGCAGATGAGTGTGAAGAAGAGGCGTCCGGTGATCGGAAGCTGATTTCCGAGGATGGTCGCCATAGTCGGGAACCCGTCCGGAAACTTCAAAGGAATTAGAATTCGCGCATAAAAAGCTGATTCTCCAAATTAGGTGGTACAATCATTTTTCTTTAATTTTTAAGAGGCCCATTGTCCCAAATTTATTTAGGGAGAAGGAGCAAACTAGAAGTAAAAGTTATGTCATATTCTCAAAATAGAAACTTAAACTTAAACTCCTCCTCTGAGTAATTAATAAATTTTATCTTCAATCGGCAGTACTCTGTAGTTCTTACGGCTCTCTTCTCCCTTAGCTTGTTTTCCTTTTTTTCTTTTCTTGCACATATGCGTGTGTATTTATACACTTAGGGGAGGGATGGGCTTTGACTTGGAGTTATGGGTAGGAATTAGGAATAGATTAGAAAATTAATTAATTATTATTATATTATAAAATCTTTATATTTATTTATTGAACTGTAACATTTTTTACGCTCATAATTTTTTACTCCAAAATCTACACTTAATAAACTATATATATTGTTGGTCACCTTTTTATGAGATCAACCCAATTACCTAATTTTTAAATTAAAAGGTTGACTTTACAAATAGTTTATATTTTCGAGTCAGAAAATAAAATAGGACATTATATTTATTTTTTATCAAAATAACAGCTAACCACTAAGTTGACTGATTATTTTTAACCCAAAGTTAAAATTTTATCAATAAACGATTCTTTTAAGGGAGAGAGACCCAAGTAGGACTAAAACATTGAAGATATATATCAAAATAGGACTTCCATATTTTTATTCCCGAAATAGGATTTACATTACCAAACATGGTCATATACATTACCAAAAACGTATAGTAATGTGCACATGTATACTGTCACATTACCACAATGCAAAGTCACATTACCACAATGCAAAGCCACATTACCACAGTGCAAAGTCCTATTTCGGGAAAAAAATATGAAAGTCTTATTTTGGTACTTTTCTCTATGTTTTAGTCTTATTTAGGATGATTTCTATTCTTTTAACTATATCGTCAATGGACGATAACAAATCACACCCAAAACTCAGTCCACAGACAAACACGGCAATTTCTACCTTGCTCCTGAATATTTTTTCGTGTATCATAATTCACAAATCAAATAGTCTCATTTGACATTCTTAGGAAGCAAAAGGAAACTTAATAAACATCACCTTTAGGTGTTGCCTCAGGCCCATATTATGTCAAACAAGATCACACTTATTGCCAAAATTCTTAATCAACAAATCTATGAAATTTGATTAATCCTTATAGACATATATATGTCAATATTCTTAAGCATTAAATAGAAACTCAATAAATTATTACAGTAAAATGTTTACACAGTGTCAAACAAGACCACATTTAATGCTAGACGTAACCGCATAATGTCAATCATGTCATTGTATAAAGTCATACATGTAAATGCATAATGTTAAACAAAGAGACAATATCAAGTATGACAATGTATAGGGCTACACTTGGCAATGTATAATGAGAGATATGTCAATGTATAATATAAAATCAATACCCTACATATAGAAACGTAGTAAATTCCTAAATTAAAATGTCCATACAGTGTCAAAAAGATCACATTAAATGTCACATGTAATCATATAATGACAATCATGCTAATGTATATATAAAATCATACATGCGAATGCATAATGCTAAAAAATAACAAATTTGAAAGTAAACAAAATTAATTCAATAACAAAACACACCCAAAACTTCATCAACAAAAATAAATCAATACCTTACATATAGAAACGTAGTAAATTGCTAAATTAAAATGTCCATATACTGTCAAAAAAGACCACATTAAATGTCACATGTAATCATATAATGACAATCATGCTAATGTATAAAGTCATACATGTGAATGCATAATGCTAAACAAATTAAATAGATAATGACAATCTTGACATTGTATAATATTATTCTTGGTAATGTATAATAAAAGATATGTCACTATATAATGTCATATATCGCAAATGCTAATGCATAATGTCAAAAGAGGGTAAATATCAAGTAACCCTTCTATTTGTCATTAATTTTGTTTAATGAGTATTGGGAGTCTACTATTTGTCACTAATTTTGTTTAATGAGTATTGGGAGTCCAACTTTGGTTTAATTTGTGCGCCCAACTTCTTTGTTCGGCCAACTTGGTTTGTGCGGCAAAGGGTTAATCAAAAGTTATATTTAATTAACTACTCCTGTTTAGGGAAGTTTAAGTTTGAACTCCTATTTTGAAGATATGCTTCATGTTTTACTCCTATTTAGGGGGTTTTCTTATTTATTTACTCTCTCCGTCCCAAATTATTTGCCACATTTGTATTTCCGAGGCAAAATATCAAGTTTTTTCAATTCATTTTATTTACATATTGGTAAAGAAATAAAAAATAAAATTTACATATAAAAAAACTACATGAAAAGTTCTTCGAAATAAGAGGTGTCAAGAATATTTTATTTTATCAAATAATCAATGAAAACGTTGAAATAAACAAAAGTTCCCGACACTGCTGAAAAAGCAAATGTTGTGAATATTTTGGGACGGAAGGAGTACATTTTTTTATCGATGTGTAANCCCAAATTATTTGCCACATTTGTATTTCCGAGGCAAAATATCAAGTTTTTTCAATTCATTTTATTTACATATTGGTAAAGAAATAAAAAATAAAATTTACATATAAAAAAACTACATGAAAAGTTCTTCGAAATAAGAGGTGTCAAGAATATTTTATTTTATCAAATAATCAATGAAAACGTTGAAATAAACAAAAGTTCCCGACACTGCTGAAAAAGCAAATGTTGTGAATATTTTGGGACGGAAGGAGTACATTTTTTTATCGATGTGTAAAATTTTACGGAGTATCTCTTTTAAATTAATTTAACTATAAATTGATATAAAAATAAAAATTATAAATTACATATTTAAAAAAACATTAAAAATTATACAAAATAATACGGAGTATGTGATAAGAATATTTAATTTTATTAAATGACCAATGAAAACACACGAGTAAACTAAAGTTATCGCGATGGTCAAATAGTTTGTAGTGCAATTAAAACATATCATAAGGGCTCTTCTTTTCTGTTTCGTGTCGGGCTCTTTAATCATCATGACCGGCCCTGCTCCTATCCAGAACCCATCTGACACCCTCGGCCACCCTCTAATTGGATTGACATTTTAGTCAAAATTTTATCAAAATGTGAACCAAATTAGGCTAAAATGTATGCATACATATCTTTCTCAAATACGAAGTAATACTTTTGTAGAATTTTACTAGGTTGTTGTCAACCCAATTGGGGGTGGGCTAGGGGCCTAGCCAACTGAGATGACGGGTAAGGTGTGTGTGTGCGCGCGCGCGTGTCGTCTATATAGGAAAAACGTGGGAAATCATTTTTCAAACAAACCATTTCATTGAGGAAAAAAATTGTGAAAATACATTTTTCATCCCAAAATTTTCTCACAAGTGGATAACTTTCTCCCCATTGGGAGGGCTCTTATAGAATTATTTTTTAAAAGAAAATCAGAATGGACAAAAACTTCACTTTCAATGCACAACACTCCTTCCAAAGGTCAAGGTCACAAATAGACACTTTGAAAATTTAAAGCAGCCAAAATAAGATTTGTCTTTGACATTTCCACAAATAGAACAGAGAAGCAACAACAGCCCATCAAACATGTGACAAACCCAGAGGTGTCAAACTTGGTGTCACTAAAATTGTTCATGACAACATGTTGAATCCAAGTGTCCAACTACTACTACTTGGATTCTTCAACAAATTTCTTCCAAAACCAATGCTCCCTCCAAACCCTGTCCATTTTCTCAATAGGCATCTTTTTTGTCTCAGGCAACAAAAGGTACACAAAGGCAGTCATAACAGCAACCCAACCACCAAAAAAGAAGAAAATCCCATACCTGAAGTGGCAAAGCATGGCCAAAAGGGATTGACCAACCAAGAAAGTGAATAGAAAACTCACACACACTGTGATGCTTTGCCCTGCTGATCTGATCTCAAGTTGAAAGATCTCACTTGGAATCAGCCATCCCAAAGGTCCCCATGACAACCCAAAGCCTGCAACGTAGCCACACAACAATAACAGAACCACAACCGCCCAATCTTTGCTTACCCCTCCGTGGTTCCCTAACTTAGCACCCAGCACTGCTCCTACCGCCATTTGGGTCACAAACATTACTACTCCTCCAGTGATCAAAAGGGGTCTTCGACCTACTTTGTCGACAATCATCATTGAAGCAAAGGTTGTAATGATACCAACTGATCCTGTCACGACTGATGACATGAGTGAAGCACTTTCTCCTAAGCCGATTGTTCTGAAAATGACTGGGGCGTAGAAACCTATCACATTGATTCCAGTAACTTGTTGGAAGAAGGGGATTGCGATTGACATTATCAGCTGAGGCCTGTATTTTCTCAGTAGAATGTTCTTGAAAGGGGTTTTGACGGTTTTGGATATCTCGCTAGCTGAAATTAGATCATCCAGCTCAGCCTGCACATCATTCGTACCTCGAATTCTCTCCAGCATCCTCTTAGCTTTCCCATGATCTTGGAAACGCTGAATCAGGCTGTTGGGTGTTTCAGGGAGGAAAAGACCGCTTAATGTTAGGATAAATGCAGGAACAGAAGCTAGTCCTAGAGAGATTCTCCATCCCCAACCATCTCTGATCTTTTCAGTCCCATAGTTTATCAGGCTTGCAACTAAGACCCCGATGCTTACACTCACCTGAAACCCGTTGTTGATTCCTCCTCTATACTTGGCTGGTGCCATTTCTGACAGATACAATGGAACTGCTTGATTAGCAAAACCGACTCCAATGCCAAGAAAAACTCTGCCAAGAATCAGCATGTAAATGTTCAAGGCCGCTCCACCAAGGGCTGCGCCGGCTAGAAAAGAAAACCCCCCTATAATTTGGATCCCAGAAAATATCAGTGTAAGAAATCAGGAAAGAAAATATAAAGATGAATTGGAAGAAAATGTCAGGGAAACAAACAAAAAAATGCTAAGCCTCAATAATTGTTTTCTAAGTATTTCATGATGCACAAGTTTTTGAAATGGAATGTCTACTACTAATCATATTTCATTTTTCTTTGCACTTTCCAAGGTAAAACAAACATGAGCAAATAACTTTCCTTAACACCCATTTCCTTACTATAGCATTTTTACGGATCTTAACATACCCATAAGGATTGATGGTGTTCGTCCAAAGGTGGCAGTTACTGATGAGGCCAACAAGGAAGCAAACAGACCGGCAACGTACAGTGAGGATGTGAAGGACGTTAATAGTTGACTGTCAAATTTACAGTAGTTACTTACTTCAGTGTCTTTCTTCATCTTAGTATAGACATCATGGAAGAACTTTTCCAGAAAAGGTTCCATTGAAGTCACTCCACCTTAAGAGGAAAAAAAGTGCAGATTCTGCAAAGTTTAGTAATTGATCTCATAAAGGTTTAATATATTTAACGAAGTATTAACGCACACAACTTTTAATGGTGGTATGATTAGTCAAGCTAGGAGCATTGACATGATTCTCAGAGTGAATACTTATATACTGGTTATCCAAGAATTGAAAAATGACAAATAAAAGAAACAAGTAGGTGCAGCAATCTAAACCTGAAATTCCAATATCATAACCAAAGATAACACCTCCCATGGCAGCCATCACACAGGATAACACGACGAATGATGTCAACTTGCCATTGTAATACCCAAGTTCATTTGGCATGGATATTCCCACTGCCATAGTTTTCCCCCTTTTTAGTGGATTTGTGGAGGAGAAGAAGTAACAGGGACTCTTAAGTAATGGATAGTAGAATCTTAAACCTTATTAAATTCTATCAACCATTCCTGGGAGTCCAAAATGGCTGCATTAGTCAAGATCGGTTTGGCCAAGCATGGTCCAAAATTTCTAGGAACATGTTGACTTTCACATTTGGAATCTGATATTTTCAATAAAATCAGCCTAGAGAGAAAGAAGTAAAAAAGGCATTCCCAAAGGAGCTAAAAGAGTCATCATTGACAATGTTTTAGTTTTGGGAACATAATGGCTCAAATTAAAAAGACACATTACACTTCCTTTGCTTTTTATTCTCTATGAATTATGAAGCTTTGGGCAGTAAATGCAGCATTGCATGTATGGTCTAACGGAAACAACCTCTATATTTATACAGGAGTAAGACTGCGACATTGCATACATCTTGACTCCCAGACCCCAATGAAGTTGGGACTATACTGGGTTGTTGTTGTTGTTGTAGAGAGAAAGAAGTAAAATAAACAGATACACATTTCGTATAGTGTAATACTCAACCAATTCATATACTCCGTGTGTGTGTGTGTGTAAGGCTTGCGGTAGTGGCTGTGAGTAGGGGTAGAGGTAGACCTAGGAAGAGCCGGTCGAAGTTGCTTAGACGGGACGTACAAGTTAATGATCTTACAGAGAGCATGGCCTTAGATAGGTCTCGAGAGCTAGGATTAGAGTAATTGGGTAGACCTTTCAGTCTTTGTTTCAATAGTTTGTAGTTTTTGCTGCTCTTTTTTTTAGCTTCTTGCCTAAATTTGTAGCTTGTGCTTGTGTGATTTCTATGCTTTGGGTATAGTGTTGTGTTTACTTTATCTGTGCTTTTATAATTTGTCTTGAGTTGGGGGTCTTTCAAGTAGAGGTAAGATTTGTGCAACACCCCCTCAATGTAAATTTGTGGGATTATGCTTTAGAACTAAGGAAATGAATGTTTTAAAAGAAAAAACTGTAAAAATTCAATAGATCTTATCATCCTCTAATCTTTAACCACACGCACATGCATGTGTCTTCACTCTTTAGCTGCCATTATCTTTCTTTTTTTCACAATTATAATTAATTTAACCTCAAATAGTCTGAATGAATCTGTATGCTAATTTTTCTGTCTATGAATCTTTCATTTAGAAGGTTCAAACACAATATATCTAATTTAAGGGGTAAACGCCTCTGATTGGACATGGCTGTCATGATTTAATTGGCTACCTTTCAACAAAAAAAGGTAGTGGAAATATAAAAACACAACCCCACACTATCCTTTATACTTTATATGATTGGAGACTTCATTAGTGTAAAGCAGTTATGATTTGAAAATCTGGGTGTTAGTTGAATTTCAACTAGTGGATAAAGAACAATGCAACCCTACCATCCTAACCTCATTAGTTAAAAGCAGTAAAGAGTCTTTTGGCAAAAAGACAAAATAGTGAAATACTGCAAGTTTTTTTCATGAAAATCAGATAAACCGGCTATGTTTGGCATTAGTCGGGGGAAACAATCCTAAAGCATTTTTTTCTTCACCGGCTATGTTTGGCTTTAGTTGGGGGTCTCTTGGAAGCAGCCTCTCTACTCTCAAGTAGGGGTAAGGTCTACGTACACACACCCTCCCAAGACCCTACTTTTTGTGAGATTCTACTAGATTTTTGTTTATGTTGTTGTGGGCTTGTGGCTATGTTTGGCACTTGTAGTAGTCCACATTCAAACCCACATATTAACCCATTGAACATCACATTCTACTTACTAGTATGAAGACAGTGTGGCATCCGGAAAGGTCTTCACAAGAATTCAATCACTGTTAGATTTCTTGCTGAGTGATTAAGCTGAAACTCTAATTCTCCTTATCCTCCAGTTACCAATAATCACGACATGAACAGATCCCATCTTTGAAATGATGATAGCGGTTTACATCTCGGATAGTTATTTCTCGCTCTGTAATTTTTGAAATAAATTTGATTGCAACATGGCAATCTTCACAAACCCGTACGTTCTTAGTAATCAAGAGTTTCGTCCCTGGTGGTGTACTAATAAGCCCAAACACAATTGCTAGCCTTTCACTGTGGCTGGAAACCATTCTAGTTTTCTCATCATCATCCACGTCATGGAAAACAGGCAAAGTGTTCGGAGTGTAACCGGCCTGAACCATCCGTGCTCCCAATATTTCAAGTTCTGCATAAATCTCATTGGACAATGGATGAGATGTGTCACCAGAGAGAAAGGCATGGACTTTACTTTTAACTTCAATCCAGCTACATGCCATGCTTTTCTTTAATCCTTTGTCAGTCATGAGTTTCCTTAGCTTTGCAACTCCCTCCCACCTACCTGCTTGGGCATAGATGTTTGATAGTATCACATAATTTCCAGCATCATTTGGTTCGAGCTCAACTAACTTCTCCAAGGCAAGTTCTGCTAACTCCACATCTCCATGGATTTTGCAAGAATTAAGCAATGCACCCCAGACGCCAGAATCTGGAGCAACTTTCATCTGTGTTATAAGTCCATAAGCTTCATCCAACCGACCAAAGTGACCAAGGAGATCAACCATGCAAGTATAGTGTTGAACAGTCGGTTCAATGCTGTAGTTCCTTGTCATCTGTTCAAAATACATCTTCGCCTCGTCCACCATGCCTCCATGGTTACAAGCCGACAGAACACCCACAAAAGTGATGTGGTCTGGCTGGGCCCCACGGATCATCCACTCAAACATATCGAGTGCTGCATTAGCATGGCCGTGCATTGCATATCCAGTGATCATAGCATTCCAAGAAACAACCCTTTTCTCTGAAAGTGCTTCGAATAACATCCTAGCAAGCTTGACATGACCACTCTTGGCATACATATCCACAAGAGCAGTCATGACCTTGTCATGAGAGCCAAAACCCTGTCTAAAGCTGTACCCGTGAAGCTCCCTCCCTTGTTGAAGTGCAGCTATATCAGCAGAAGCTGAAATGGAAGTCACCAAAGTGGCATCCGTAGGCCCCACGCCCGCGTAAGCCATCTCACTGCACAACAACAGGCACTCATCTGCACACCCATTCTTTGAATAAGCCGCCAGCATTGAATTCCAGACCACAACATCCCTCTGAGCAACACCATCAAACACTTTCCTTGAACTGTCAACACGGCCACCCTTTGCATACATGTCAATGAGCGCTGCACAGACAAAGACGTCTCTTTCCCACCCGGCCTCCACCACTTGCTCATGAATGTCCCTCCCAACATCAATAGCCGAGAGGGCCGAGCAGGCCTTGAGCACGAACGGAAATGTGAAGTTGTCCGGAACATGCCCGTGCTTGAGCAGTTGGAAATACAAAGAGATGGCAACTTCATAAGGGCCATTCCACGCGTACCCTCGAATCAAAACATTCCAAAGAAAAAGATTTCCTTTGGGAATTTTAGCAAACAGTTTGTGTGCAACACTGACATGGTCACAAACACAGTAAAGATTGACTAGTTTCGTGGCCAATAAGGTATTATAGCCAAGCCCCGCAATGCAAAAACGAGCATGGAGCTGCCTTCCTGGCTGAATCGCTTTGCCAAGAATGCAAGAATTTAAAAGATTAGCATAATCTTGAACAAGGTTAGGGGGCAGAGAATGATGATTACAGTGATAGTTCTGAAGAAATGCGAAATAATTATGAGATGAATTAAGGGGAATCCTAATCCTTGAAAGCATTTGATGAAAATTTCTACAACAAGAAATGTGAAACACAATCGATAATCTTCAAAAATAAACACAGAAATTTTATACTCCGTAATATCCAGTCTTTCGCGGTAAAAAATGTGAAATTTTGTACGGAGGAATTAATTGTTTACAAATGTTCTGAATAATACGGAGTAGTATAATACGAGTACAAAACAACAACAACAACCCAGTTAAATCCCACAAGAGTAGGGTCTGGGGAGGGTGTGTGTACGCAGACCTTGCCCCTACTCGAAAGTAGAGAGGCTGTTTCCAAAGAGACCCCCGGCTCAACGTCGAAAGTTGCATTGCTTGACTAACTGCTACTTCATTAATTAGAGAAGCGCAGATAGTTTAGAGATCCATTTTGATTTATTCCATCACACCCCAAAGCCAAAAAATGGTGAAATTTTGGTTCCATCGGAGATGATGGAAAACGAGTACAAATCTTTATCTTAAAAAATTACAGATTTTTTTTTGGAGAAATACTAAAATTATATTCCTGTTGATCTGCTGATTTTTTTAATTATTTTTTCTCACTCTTAAATATTTTTATTGATCATTTTGAAAATAACGTAATCAGAATAATTTCCTCAAAAAACATAATCAGAATAACATAGTCAAATTACTTCTAATTTTGTAAAATAAAAATTCTAAATATATACGTTGTAGATTTTAATTTTAACTTGTATTCTGTTCTGTATGAATAAAATGAACTTTCGAATAGAGTACTCCTTTCGTTCACTAAAATTCTTCTTATTTTGTTTTTAAATGCAAAATCTAAAAATTTTAAAAATGATTTTTTTTATAAACTAGTACTTCGTATAAAAATAGAAGGTAAAACTTACATATTCAAAGCCTACATAAAAAATTCTAAGAAAATAAATGATAATAAAAATATTTTATCAAATAAATTATAAAAAATATACGCAAATAAAAATTATCGAGCACCCTTGAATAGTGAATAGGAATGGCTTTGGGGAACGGAGAGAGTATTAAATATTTAATACTACATCCGTCCCAGAGTATTTGTCCACTTTCATTTTTACACACCATCCAATGCACTTCTTTAATTCATTTTATCTTGTAATTTTTATATTAAAAAATTATAGAAATTATATATTAATAATCTATATGTTAAGACAAACCAAACAAGATCACACATGACTATATTTAGGCTTACACATTGAGAGAATTTGATGGGTCAAAGTGCTTAGATAAACAGTTTCAAAAGTCAAAACTGAACGAATACTTTGGGACGGAGAGAATAGTTTTTGGATGTAAATAAACCCGTTTTTGGTGATATTACGTGAGAAAATGACAATTCTACCCTTGACCTAAGGTACACGGTGGACTTTCATATAGACAAATTAAAAAAAAATTAAATTTACTTGTTTGTGAGGTCTATATTTTTTTGTGGATCAGATGTCCACAATAAAAGCCCTGCAAGAACATGTTTATCTCTTGGAGGGTTCATGAGGTCCACAGTTCAACATGTTTATTTCAATTGCAACTCCTAAGAACCCTCAAGAATGTAAATTTAAAAGTTTTAAAAAAAATCAAATTCTACTATCCAAAGCACATTACATATTATAGCAGAGTAGTTTCCTTGCACGAAAATTTCTTAGACGAGTTTGGATTATTCAAAAGGTTCAAGGATAAAAATGTAAATTGTAAATTTTAATGGATGAATGTGTTCACAGTACACACACACACACAGACCCACCAGACTTATGGTCAGACCAAACGGGGCTAGGGGACTAGGACTTGCTTACCCGATTGCCCGAGTGGTACCCTCTAGGCTCTAGTGTTACAAAGAAACCAGAACAAAAAGAAAGAGTTATGTTACAGTGACATTGCCAATGACACCGAGATTGGCCCCATAAACGTTTCTTAAACATCACAAACAATGAGGGTCAATGATAGAGTCAACCTTGGTGTCAATGGTGGTGGTGACAAAACAGAATTATTCTGAAAAGAACAGACACATGGTTAGCTTTTGTCGTCGTCTTGGTTTTGAAATTGTTCGAGTATCACGTTACAGTTGTTCATGGCACGAGCATCTAGGAGGCCGTGATTCCATAGTTTTATCATGAACAATCTCCAGCACCTGGCCAATGAATATACACATATATACATACACATCATCATAGGGAATCAGTAGTATTTAGGGCCCGTTTGTTAAGCGAAAAAATGTTGATATAATATACGTTTCGAAATGTGAAAGAAAATATGACTTTTGAAACCACTTGGTTCCCATGACATTGGCCCGGAGGCGCTCTGGTGCCCTGTTCGTAAAATTGACGGTTCCTACCCCCCCTAACCCCTCCGGAAAACCCCCACCCCCACCCCGTCCCGACCTGAACGCACCCCCCACCCCCTTCAATTGCACCCCACAAGTTGATTTTGACTTTGGAGTCAAATTTTCAAAAGGGGCGCTCTGGTGCACCCCTTTTGAAATCTGAAATGGAAGTGTTTGAAGAGATCTAAAATGATGCATGGAGGTGGACGGCGGTTGAACACCCTCATTTAGATGATGGGTTGTGATATCAGGAAATATCAAACCCAGACTATGTTTAGGTTTCACCAAGCACAAAAAGTTCTGTTATTGGGAGATATCAGAACGAATATCTCATGCATTCACCAAACGGGCCCTTACAGAGGCTCATAACTGCCACAATAACATCTTGTGAATAATCTTCACATGATCGGCCTGAGGCACGATGTCGTAAAAAATCTAAGAAAATTGCTGGGTAATGGGAAGGGGACTACCAGAGCAGTGCGGGAGTTCGGAGAAAATCTTGACCATGCAGCTTTGAGAAGGCCTCACATGCCCAAGGAATGTGGCCATCTGCAAGCACCCTGCATATGGGTAACAAAGATTTTTTAAAAAAATGGTCTTTCTGTTAGAGGTATCCATCAATTGAAGGACCATTTAGGTAACAAATTTAAAGAATGGTCATTTTGCTAAGGTCTCTGTCCTAAATTGAAGGACAACTTATGTTTCCATGCATTGAACAATGAACACAAAGGTGAGATGGCAGATTACTGAAAAAAGAAGAAAAAGAGAGAAATGCCAAGGCAGCATGAAGATCTCACCTTTGCTTTCTCACAAATGAATTCCAGAGATGCATCATATGCTTCTCGTCTTTGGAAACGTCCACAAAATCATCAAGCATCTGCATTACCATCAATGAATCATCAATAATTCAGAAGATGACGACAACAACAAACCCAGTAAAATCCCACAAAAAGGTAGGGTTTGTGAAGGATGTGTGGACATAGACCTTACCACACACACACACACACACACACACACACTATTATAAATTTCTGCAATGAATCCAGTAACTAGAAATCTAGAATAGTACGAAAAGCTCCTATTTATATCTGATGTTCTAATGAATGGTATTAATAGTACTTGTGTCGAGTTTGACAGCTTTGACATGAACTATGGCATACCCGCCGGTCTTCGAGATCCGCAACATCATCATCAACTTCATCCTCACTATCCTGGTCTGATAAAACTTGTTCCAATTCCATAGGCTACCCTCATTTCAAAAAAAGTGTGATGGAAATATTTTAGCACATCGATATTTAAATTCATTTAACAATAGATCATGTTCAGTTTCAATATTGCTCTCAAAAGGGACGGGGGAATGCAAAAAAAATGTTCTTGAAAATCTTATGGATATGTACAATTCAATCATCACCTGGGCTCGGTGTGAGTGAAAGAATTGTCTCTTCTGCAGGAGGGTACGACTTCAAGTTGGAAAGACAAACCAAAGAGCCAAGATGTCAGGTATTATAAAGTCATAAAAAACATCAGCAACAACAACAACCAAAACCCACAAAAATATGGTCGTGGAAGGGTGTGTGTATGGGGACCTTACCCTTACTTGGAAGTAGAGAGGTTGTATCCAAAAGACCCCCGGCTCAAACAAAGAAGTAAGAACAAAGTAAACACAGTAGCATGAAGAAAGTAAGAAAACAAACACAAGAAGCACACATACCGACACTAGCAACTAGACCCCCCAAGAAAACATAGAAAACACTTAAACACAAGCTACAGATAAGTCCCAAAGGTCTACTCAATTACTCTCATCCTAGCTCTCTAAGTGTTCCAATCTAAGGCCATATACTCAATAAGATCCTAAAGTCTTAAGTCATGTCTAATCACCTTCTTCCAACTCTTCTAGGTCTACCTCTACCCCTACTCATGACCACTAACACAAGCCTCTCGCATAAAACACCACTTTTAAAATGTCATTGTAAAGAACAAGGGCTTATGCAATGCAATTCCAGCTCTTGTTGATCAAAACATCATTCATAGTTATTATGTGTACAAATGGCAAGCCGATAGAGCAAAAGCTCAAATCATTTAAACTCCCATAAACAAGCTCCTGAAATCTTTAGCCCCGTGAAAAGCACTGTAGATATCACATAATTGTGCTCAATTTTGTAAATTAAAAAAAAACTGTGACTGAATGAAAGTTGCAATATAACAGATAGCATTGCACCAGCACATACTTTCTTGGATCGGAACGCTCAACAGATAACTTCCTGGTCTTTGCAAATTGAAGCACTGCAGGTTGTGCTAGACTGCTTCCAGGCAATGACTCTGTACATTCAGGGTCTGGAAATGGTTGTCCAGTGGCTGATGATACAGTTGCAGCATTGGGACTTGATGCATCACATTCCACGATACCTGGCAAAACATTACAAATTTATCAATTTAGATTGAAGAATGAGGAAAGTTGATTGAGTGACATAATGGATACTACTAGGTGTCAATTTTCAGTCGTAAAGTGTTCATACCATCATTCTTGATGTGAAGATCCTTTATTGTCGTTGGAGAATCTGAATCAAAAGCCAGTGGATGTACATGCTTTCCATTCTGAACGCTTTGTTGTTTTCGGCGTCTTAAGGGCCTTGAACTGCACGAGAAGAGGATGCTTGGGTCACATAAAACGCTAGAATATGGTTAAAATGCAAAGGAAAGATGCTTTTTTACTTTGATAATCTTAAAGCAAAACGAATTATTATTTTTTTTTTCTTTAAAAATTGCATATATTTAGATGTCTTATTAGTTGCATTCATCATCATTTTCAGGACTGCAATCCCATTTGTATGGGATTTTGTATTCTTTATATTATAGACATAAATAAATAAAATGAGTGTTGTATATAAATAAAAACATATTAATTTCCCCCACGTTTTCATTGCATAATTGTCCTCTCTTCTTTCATTCCTAATTGTCCTCTCATGTTGTCATTTGTCATAATGAAACTGCACCTAATGCTTATCAATGCTCCCTCAATCTCATAACTTTGTTCCTTCTTTCTTTTTTGGGTTGTCCCAAAATTTTGCTTCTTTTTCAGGAATAGATTATGTGGTTGAAATGTTCTCTCCTCTAAACAAGTTTTCACAGCAAAATTTTTACTTTATTAAAATATTAACCAAGTCAAAACATAAACATAACTATGGGATGGGGGCACAAGTTAATGCATGAGATAGCTACATACCAAAAGAAAAATGTTTGTTGTTTGGGATCAACACCGTCAGCAATGATCTGAGACACAATTAGCACAAGGCTCAGTCACATTCACAAAGCCCACAAACGCACTACCAAGACTTCACATCCACCAATAGTTATGAAGTACAATAAGATAAAAAAATATCACCATGTCCCATTTTTAAAAAACTAGATGTTTACTCATTTAAATAAAACGAAGAAAAATTGAGTTGACAGATTATCCAAGTTGGGTAGGCTATGGTTTGAGCACATAAAGAGAAGTGTTGAGGCCCCAGTGAGGAGATGTGAGAGGCTTGCAGTAGAAGCCATGGAAAGGGATAGAGGTAGACCTAAGAAGAGTTAGAAGGAAGTGATTAGACATGACTAACAACTTCAAGATCTAACTGAGGATATGACCTTAGATTGGAACGCCGGGAGTTTTACGACTAGAGTAGTTGGGTAGACCTTTGGGGCTTAATTTGTAGTTTATGATTATGAAGGTGTGTTTTTAGCCTTAGTCTGTAACTTGTGCATGTGTGCTCTCTCTGCTTCTGGTCTAATTGCTAGTGTTTGTGTTGGTATGGGTGCTTCTGGTGTGTGTGCCCTTACTTTGTTCATGCTACTGAGTTTACTTTGTCTATATTTTTGTGTTTGAGTCGGGGGTCTCTTGAAAACATCTCTACTCAGAGTACAGGTAAGGTCTGCATACACACCCTCCAAAGACCTTACTTTTTGTGGGAATTTAGTAATTTACCCTTAAATTTAGTATTCTCACCTCAGATCTCCATACATCAGTTTTAACAGACACATTTACCGCCTGATATTCTTCAGTGACCTACAAATTACACGGAATTTAACTTAGATAGCTCAAGGGGAGAGAGAGAGAAACAACATAAACAAAATGTGCTGGGATTACTGAGTTTTGGAGTTTTACCCACCCAAAAGTCAAAATAGAATAGATCATGACAAGAAGATAAGTGATATCTCAGACCCTAAAAATTAAAAATGCAAAAGCTTGTAAGAACAAATGGCAAAATCTCAGATTCATTAGTGAACAGTGAATACATAACTAGTAATAACAAATGACATCTTTCACCTTAAAGCTTCCACATTTCACCAAGCAGAAAGGACATGTAAAGTCTTCTGTTACTGTAAGATTCAGCAGAAATGAAGTTAAAATTTTGAGCTACACAACTATTTTGTATCATTGAAAAAGAGAACCATGTGTTTTAAACAAATCTGTGCAGCTTGATAACAATAAATTTTACTATAATAACATTAACAGAGAATATGATATAGTAAAATGGAGCTTAAGACAAGATTGTTTTACTCTCAATGAATAATCAATTACCTTCAGTTCGCTGGCACTTATTGTTATAGTATCTATAGTTGAAAACAACATTTCCAGTCCGTAGCCTGGGGATTGAAACAAAAAAAGCTAAATGATTAATGGATTGTGCATTCACCATCATTAATAGATATAAGCCAAGAAATATTTGAATGTGAGAAGAAAAGTATCATAAGGCACAATTCTTTAAGGAGTATACAAGAAACAAAAGAATGGAGAGAATGTAATTTAGTAAGTGTATGAAACACACACACACACATATGAAAACAGTGAAATTGTTTCATTTACATGAGTGAATCACAAACAAATTTAACAGCTTTTAATCATTTGAACTCTGTTTAACTTGTAATACCCCCTGCATCCCGCAAAGAAGTTCCTAATTTCACTTCATAGAGTTTAAGAAAAGTGTTGAGAAGTGAAAACGTGGGTCGTTAGAATTTTTAGAGAAATGATGTGAACCACATATTCATTTTCTTAGAAGGAAAAACAGATATTGGTGAACCTTTTTTGGGGAACATTCATCAACGGAAAGTATGAACTTCTTTGCATGGGAAAATAGTGTATGAGAAAATAATTGCTACTCCCTTTGTCACCCTATTTTTGTCCCTTTTTACCTTTTTGTCTGTTCCACTATGTTGTGGTTCACATTCATTCTTACTTCACCTTACTTTTTAAGATCAATACCAACCACACAATCCTACTTTTCTTGATTATCGTGTCACTCCCTCATGTCCCAGAAATAGTGAGATGGAGGGAGTAGAATTTAATCAGTGGCATGTGATGTGCATTGTAAAAGAGCTTACACAATATGTATTAAGCAATCATATATTATGATTGTATGCATGTGGAGAGGGGACTTCACCTTTTTATATGATGCAAAGATGAGTTAGGAACTTCATTATAGGAGTACGAATCGTAAGACGTTCTCTCCTTTGCCCCAACTTCTTCTGCAGCAACACTGACTTTAATCTCATGTGATGTATCCTTTGACACCAAAAAAAAGAGCAAAAATAGAAGAAAAAAATTAACATGGAGATGAGTCACATATGCAAGGAAATAAGAGGAATGTCCATAGAAGACAAAACTGACAGAATATATAATAGAGTTGGAAGTACCGCAGCTCCAAATGATTGAGGAAACTGAAATGAAACACACCCATGTTTCTCCAAATAGCTTACCTGCAAAGAGAAGACAAAAAAGTGTGAACAGAAAAAGATTTATTACAAAAAAAATGCATGAAAAACACATACTTTCATTCAAATGAATTATTACTTATTTGCATCCAGTAACTGCATACCTTCATGAAACAGGGGCACAAGTCAACAGTGGAAAACATCTCTGCTCTTTCTCCAAGACCCAAGTTTGGAGACTTTTCCAAAGATAAATAAGGCAATTCCATGGACATCCTACTCAATAAGCAGTGTCCTTCAACATTGGCTACCAAAACATAAGGAAGTGAATTAGGACACTAGATAGAAGAAAATCCACAAGATAATTTGATCAAAAAACTAAGGCAAAATTGTGGTCTACTTGTGGTAATAAAATGAGAAGCTCCAACAAACATTTCCTTTCACCCTAAGGGATTAAATTAGGCCAATGAATTGCATGAAAACTTGTATTGATAATTGAACAACTAGTTTAGGAAAATATGAGACAGTAATGAAAAGTGAACCCCTTCAAGGTTTGCTATTACAACAAGTTGAATCAAAGATACTAGCGATAATTCGGAACAAAAATAGATGTGCTACATTCAACTGTCTGTCAACATTTATCAAGTCCAACCAGCATAATGAATTCATCTAGCAAAGGTGCAACCTCTCTCTCTCTCTTTCCAATAGCCATATCTAATATGAACCTAAATCATTAGCGCCAATCTCAACATTCTAATAAAATGTTACATCAGATGCAACCACACAATATTTATGCTGGCATGTGGACAACTTACAAGCAAAATATGACATATCCATATGGTCCTTGGCGATCTCAGCTGCAAAATGGGTGAAATAGAAAATACCTAAAATCTTCCACTGAACATCATTGGTGTCAGAAATTCATGGAGGTGCAAATATGGCATACCACAGCTAATAAAAAGAATTACAAGTGATGCTGCATCAATCTCCGATGATAACTTATTCATTTCAGGGAGTACAAATTTTGCATAAGCTTGATTCGTCCTGTCTACTCCGGAACAAGAGGATAGCACGCATGCCCGCTTAAAGCAATATACTGCAGAGTACTGCATGCAAGTACCAGATTGGGATTAAATATAACATTTTTAAAAGTAGTGATAGGATATAGTTCTATAATTGAGCTCAAATACCTCAGAAGCTACAGGAATTGGAACTTGCCTAGCCAACAATATACACAAAGGAAACATGCTTTGAATGTGTGAGCCGCCATTTAAAGTTGCTGGAAGAGAAATGGTCATTTGTATCCTTGAAATGCATGAAAAACTTCCAAAGTAAGAAATGATGGTCTACACTTTACAAACACTAATATGCACAAAACATTAAGGCACAGAATATAAGAGCATCAGGAAATCATTGTCCAAATTCAATTACACCATTTGATGGTTTAATTATGAATGACCCTGGCCTGATAAGAACAAATAAATAGGTAATGCAACCAGCTTGTTAATATACTCTTTTTGTGTTATAAAAAGAGTCTTGTTTAACCATGATATTCCTTTTAATTTTTAAAATATGCAGTTATTCCCCATATGCCTGGTGTGGTTGCCATTGTAATATACAGAGTACAACCATTAGAGATCCTCAATTATACTACTCCAAGCAGGGCTAAGGTCCGCATACACACTCCCCAGACCTTACTGTCGTAAGGGATTCTACTGGGTTGTTTTTGTATTTGTTGATTTAGCTTAATTTAACATATTTAACTTGTTCCATACACTTATTTTTTAAGCATTAGATATAATAAAAAAATATATTGTTTTGTTCGAATAAGACTCATTTAGGGGGGAAATAATAAATTTTCAAAATATGACTACTTTCGGAGACAAATGGAATACTGGTTTACCCTTGTGATGGTTCATACCACCTAGCCTGACTGAAAAGGTTCTGATCCCCTGAGATGAGCTATTTAGATTCAAGTTTCATCTTTCAAAATTGGAAACTAAACTGAAACATAAAGCATATGATTCCAGACAATTACCTTCTTTTATGTTTTGTTTGTAATTTGTACCGCAAACATCTTTGTATGAAAGACGGCTGCATAAAAACTAGTCTTCAGTTAGAGATGAAGAATCGTACTATTCATTATTGAATAACAAAATATGACAACCCGTTGATAAATTTAGGATCTTTCTGAAGACCGGTGAATATTTAAAATTATCTAATTTCCCATTTTCTTAGAGGGCAGCTGAAGTAATCAGGAAGTGGGAAAGAGGGAAAATTCCCTACATTAGAAACATTTAGTATTTAAAGCAAAGGAAAGAAAAATACATTTTTTGCAGCTCGGCGTTGCAGTATGTTGTATAATTCAACAGGTTTACAATATATCGAAAGACTTTCTTCGGCTGCAATTTCTTCTTCTGCAGACAAGTGCTCGTGAGAATCGTGACGGCACATCTGTTCTGCAGCTCTAGAATAACTGCAATGGCAAACAAAACTCATCTATCATAAACTTAGAAGAGAATCACATTCTATCCCCATTATAGTCATTGCGATTCCTATATCCTCATAACAAAAACACAGTTAAACAAAAATTCTCCAGCTTTAACGAATGTTAAGTTGTTAACCAAGAAAAGAAAACAGGAAACGCTTACGAAGTCCCGTTGGGTGTTAATGGTATGCCAGGCATCTTTTTTTTTAAGGAGAATAAATATGTACACTCATAATCTGAAGCTCAAGGCCGAGTTCAAAGCATCCAAACCTAACAGTCTGAAACAAATGGAAGAGAAAATCACAAACTATAAAACAATAGTAATTGAGCTGAAAAAGAATGTCTACTAATCTAATTGAGCTGAGATTAAACGCCGCATCAGAGATATCAATGTTGAACTTAGGATAAATCAATTTAAAATAATTTTCTTAATAAAAAGTGAAGACTGATTGAGGAGGAAGACAAAAACCATTAGAAAATATGTTTAGTTGATTTGAACTTGTAATGTCAGCAAAACAAAAGCCATTACGAATAAAGATTGCAAAGTTTACGTTTTTACAAGCGCGAAACCTTTTTTTCCGGCGACGAAGCTTTCTCCAGCACCGATAATAAGCTGCACCGGAATTCGGATCTGGTGAAGGAATTACTCCGACGGGGGGGGAGCCAATTGTCCGTAAAGATGAAAAATTTATGAAGATTTGAACATACCGTGCACAATTCTGAGCAATTTTTCCGCCGTAAGTATTTAGACACGCGAAAAAGCAGCCAACTTTCAGCTTCAACGCGACGGGGTTCAAAAAATTTCTCTTCTTTCTCTCTTTCCTTCTTTCTAATCTCTATCCTTTTTTCTCTTTATTTATAGGTTTTTTTATATTATTTGTCTCTAATCTTTTTAAAAAATAAGTCAATAATCTTTAAACTTTAAAATTAACACCAATAATTTCTAAACATTTAAAAGATTATGTCAATATACTCGTTGGAATTTGATAAATATATCATGAATTGATAAAGAGCTTGATTAATTAACGAAGAGTTTGATTGATTGATGATCGAATTTCAAATTTGTTAACGACGATCAAAATGAGAATAATTATTTAAGAGTTCAATAGGTAGAGAAGATAATGTTTGATAATGACGTATTGCCAAACTCATGTGTGAAATACTTCGTATGACTTTAGATGATGAATTCATGCACTCACTTGACGAACGTGTAATTACTGCACTCCCAAATTTGACTTAAAGAGGTCATTGATGCACTATTTTTGAATGTCCAAGAACCATTGATGCAATTTTTAAATTTCAAGAGAAATGTGCACAAGTTTTAGAGACTTTGGTAGTGTATAGAGCAAAAAGTTCCCTTTTTTGTTTATTTTTTAATTGAAAACAAACTCAATTTTTTATCCCTAAATTCCTAATGGTGTGTAGTTAACCAATGAGAGACGTACAAATAGTGAATTATGAATTAACTAAAATCTGCTCTATATTCCCACTCCGAAACTGGTGGGTGCCTTTAAAACTTTAGCGATGTCGTCATTACAAAAGAATGCACTAGCGGGTTGAAGCGTTGATGCATGTCGCGACTAATTGCTTGAGATCGTTGCTTCACAAAAGAGATGTTGATGCGGCATTGGTTACGAGTTTTCCTCGAGTCATTGCTTCACGAAGAAGTCACTAATTTCTGCAAGTGGGTCACTGCAAAAGAGGAACTAAGAATCGTAGTATATATTATGACCGGTCCTGAGAATTTAATGATTTGGGCCAAGACGAAAAAAATGCCTTAAAACCTTACTCCTAATGGTTTAATGAATTAAAGTATGCAAATTAATTATGTATTTATATTTAATTGACAATTAACATAATAATATTATAACAAAATGCGTAAATAACAAAATCATAGTAAAGAGTTTATATATAGTTATCTTTCCAAACCAATATTTTGAAAATTGTAAAGGACGTCAACCCAAACAAACTAATGGGTCAATAGTTAATCGGTCGACCCAATCAACTATAATTAAAGCAATAATATTTTATATTATTAAATCTTTTTAATTAATAAGAAATTTTAACGTGTTTCTTACATCATCGATATAGTTTCCAGTATCATTTTGCTAGTGTTGTCATACTTTCAATTTGTATTATCTTTTATTACTACTAAAAATAAATGATAAATATTTAATAAATACTAAAATGGCAAGACAATACTTATATTTTTTAAAAAAATAAAGACTAGGTAATATGTTATTATATACGGAGTAATACTCCTCAGTAATCTGTATGTAACACTTCAGACTTATATTTAGTTGATTAAATGAGTACTTTCATGATGTTCAAAAAATATTATACTTTTCCATATGTTGCATAAACACTCTTAAAAATTAAATGAAAGTGACAAATAGAAATAATTAAAATTAAAAACTACCTCATCTAATAAATGGAAATTGTAATACCTCATACTAAGATAGGAATAGAAAGAGCTCAAAAGAATTAGTAGTACTACTCATACCAATAAAGTGTATTTTCTTTTCGAGAGCTCATCACCTAGAAATTTTAAAGTTAAGCGTGCTTGATTTGGAGCAATTCTAGGATGGGTGACCCCTTAAAAGTGAGATTATTTTATGCGAAAAGATAAATTATTTCTTTCGGCCCTATTTTAATTACACATTGGAAAAAAACGATTTTTTTTTGAATTTTTTCAATTCACTTTAATTAAAGATTGAAACATAAGTAAAACATTTAACAATTCATCCAGTTTTCACGATGAGAGTAAGGACGACCTAAAATTCTCAACATTTTGATAATATGAGCTTGTTTTACATTAAATTAAAAAAGTAAGATAAATTATAGAAGACTGTTATAATTTTTGGAAAAAAAATAACTTAAAAAAACTAAAATAGTCCTTATAAAAAAATCCGGAGTAAAATACTCACTCCGTCTTTGATCAATAATTAAATATAGTTTAAAATAATAAAATATTATAAAAATTTGATATTTAAAAAATATATACACCGGGTATTAAATAAATCCAATTTTACTAAATTTACATTATAATTAAATATATTTTTTCTATAATTCATGATCAAAAGATGTTATAATTTAATAAAAAAAAGTTAAACTATATTAATCTTTTAGGTACACGAGTAAATGATGGTTTTAAAATTCCTTATATTGGCACGCACGCAGAAATAAATGGAATAGTTTTCTCTATTTAAACTCTGCAATTTTATATTGAACACAAGGCGACAAGTTGAGGAAGACGAAGAACTAGCGGCATCCATCACATCAGAGCTTTTAAATAATGCCAGCAAACGCGTTGAAGCTGAACTGATCATCATCGGTTAGTTAGTGATTAGATTAGATTTGTTCATTTTGCGGCGGGCCGGCGATGGACGGGAGGAGAATAACCGCGGCCCCACGACCTTGCAGCGAGCGGCGAGTGGCGGCAAAGAAGCGCCGCCGCGCCGGTTCCGACGGGTCAATGAACACCGTCAAGAAGCTTCAGAGGAGGGAGATTTCCTCGAAGCTCGATCGGGCTTTTAGTATGAAGGATGCGCCCGAGCGATTTCGTAACATTCGCTTACAGGTTACTGGTTTTTTTGTTGTCCCATTTTCAATTTCGACTTGAATTGATCTTCCGTGAATCGTTTATAAACTCGCGATGATTGGGTAGATTTGTTAAGTTGTTCACTTGTTCAGTAAGATGTTACTGGGTTTAGCCAGTCAGGGAGCCTTGATTCGTTGCCCTATGCTATTCTAGCCGTGCATCTAAGAACCTCAGGCCAGATGGGTGTCTTTTTTGCGTGCTAAAGGGTCACTTTTTGATTAAGGGGTGTTTGTTAATGCATGTTCGTTCTAAGCAACTGCATAAATGGTTTCTGGGATTATCCATAATGACTGGTTTGCTTTGGTGTATAATCATTGTGTTGTGTAGATCTGGGTATGTGTGAGTGTTTGTGGTTGTTGGAATGTGTGTTAGGACACATCCTATGAATAGAGAGAACATATAACTAGATAGACCGAGTTCGATTCGCCACTTTACTCACATTGGATTAGGTTTCCAAAGTGTAGATTAAGGGTGCCTTTGGCATGCCTGTGGTTTAAATTTCAATGCCCAAACACACCACCCCATAGCTACACTTAAACGCAATCTTACTAAAGATTCAACCTTTAAGGTTTCAAATCGTCATGCACCACACCGTTTTACCAAACGTGGCCTAATTAGCCAGGATATGCAATCACCAATGTAAGGGTTTTTTGCCAGCATGTTCCTGCCAGAACATTGGCACTTGGCTCAAGTGATTCAAGGTGAATAAATTCACAATTTTGTCAAGATTAGTTCATTAGTCTAATAATTTTTGTTTCCTGCAGGAGGAATATGATACACATGATCCAAAAGAGCATTTTGTCAATGCACTTCCATTTTTTACGAGAAGGACTAGAATTATTGAGATTGTTGCTGCCCACAACATTGTTTTTGCTCTTGCGCGATCTGGAATCTGTGCAGCATTTAGCCGAGGTAAACACGGTTGATCTAAACCATCATATAACTTTATTCTAATTCTATCCCATCTATATATTCACGCCCACATATCTTTCGTATGGAAAAATGATGGACAAACTCCATTATTTTACTCTGGTTGCCATACTCCTTGAGTTTGCATTAACTTAATTCTCTGGATTCTGGAAAGAGAGAAAACAAGATCCGGCCCACTTTTAATCTCCACTCGACCGCTAATTTCAGTTCATGTATGCTTTCAATAGATAAATAAAGACATGAGAAGGAAATGAGTAGGAAAGATACATGTACGAGAAGAGAAATTGAGTAGATTTTAGGTGTTCTTGGATTGAAAGAATTAGGAAAAGTAGAAGAAAAAGAAAAAATGATTTTTTCCCTCCTTGCAAGGCCGTATTTTACTTTATGTAGATATTGTAATGTAGAGAAAACTGTAGGGACATGGTAATTGCTGCAAAATTGCTTCCCTCTCCGATTTTTCTTGCCACTTATGACTTATGGGCAGAATATATCAGGATGGGTTCCATGTGAAGTATTCTCTCTTTTCTTTTTGTCTCTCCCCTAACAGTCTAACACCACTAAAAAAATTCTCTCCCATTTCTTTCTTCCCTACCCCCATAACAAAATTCTCATAAGCATACTAAAGAGTAGGAGAATCTGGAGTAATAAAAAGTCTGACTAATATTTCTTGATGGCGCAGAGACAAACAAGAGGATATGTTTCTTGAATGTCAGTCCGGACGAAGTAATACGAAGTTTGTTTTACAACAAGAACAATGATTCTCTCATCACTGTTTCAGTATATGCTGCAGATAATTTTAGCTCCTTAAAGTGCAGGAGCACTAGGATTGAGTATGTGTGATCCATACGATTATTTTGTTGCTCTTTTGAGTCTTTTTCATTCAACCTTGTTTGGCTGGGGTATTTTGGAGTGCAGGGAAGGGGTGATATCTTATTTATTAATCTATTCTTACATTTACATGGTTGGAAATAGAGTGAAGATGAAAAAGTACTCTCCATCCCAAAATAAGGTTTCCATTTGATCTTTTACTGTCTTCAATGCAAAACTATTAATACCTTTTTTAATTTTTTATATAGATATAAATTTTATAAGAATAGGGTATTTCAAAACTATACATTAAGATGAATATAATGATATCATCCTTACATTATAAATCAATTGTTCTCAAATATACGAATAATGATTATCAATTTTGACCACAAAATGTCAAATGGGAACCTTTTTTTGGGACTAAGAAATACTTAAATACATGATGTAGCCATAGTTAGTAAGGCGTCGCCTAGGCGCTAAGGCGTTATGTTTTGCTCGCCTTGGTTGCTCGCCTCGCCCAGAAAACCCTAAGGCGGTCAGGCGCTCGCCTAGGTGTCGCCTTACGTCGCCTTTCTCGCCTTGACGCCTTGGTTCACTTCAAATTTATGAAAAGCCCAATTTTTTTTAGTGCAGCCTATTTTTTTAGTGCAGCCCATCCTTTTAGTGTAGCCCATTTTCTTTTAGTGCAGTCCAAGTATTTTGCAAGTCCATTTTAAAGAGTTTAAGAAGATTTAACTTAAATTATCTCTAGGCTCGATCAAGAGCCTCTTCCCATTCCAGATCTGCTGACTCACTTTCTTCTAAATGTTTGTGAACCCTTCTTTCTTTTTCAGATTATGTGTGGACTTTTGTTTCATATGTTGTGCCTTATTATTTATAATATATATATATATATATATATATATATATATATAATGTATGTATGTATGTATGTATGTATGTATATATAGGTCGCCTAGGCGTCCGCCTAGTTGCCTAGGCAGTATGAAGGTATATTGGCGCCTTGCCTCGCCTTACCGCCTTACAAACTATGGATGTAGCTAAATGTACATGAAGCATTTTCTAGTATAAGACTAACAGATAGAGTTAAATTAGGATTAAAAAACAAATCATTGTCATTTTTTCTCCAAAATCCCCAACCAAACAATCCTTAAAACCCATTATGCTCTATCTTTTATGGAAATGCTACATTCATTGATGAAACTAGATACATAAAAAGGGGTCAACCAGATGCTGGCTTTGCTCTTTTTGAGTCCGAGTCATTGAAATGGCCTGGTTTTGTGGAGTTTGATGATGTCAACGGGAAAGTATTAACTTACACTGCCCAAGATAGGTAACAATATTTACCAGTTAAAGGATCCCATTTGTGTGCTGCTGCTTATCTTATTGGCTGATTTTAATTCTCTTTTTTGTATGTTATCAGCATATACAAGGTTTTTGATTTGAGGAATTATACAATGTTGTACTCCATATCAGATAAAAATGTCCAAGAGATCAAAATCAGGTTAGTCCATGGAGAATTGAAGTATGTATTGCATAATCATATAGAAGCACACATTAGGCACTATCATGCAATGCTGTAATCAGAACTACCACAAGCTAGGAGATTGGAGACGCATCTAATCAGATACTAATTGTGCTTAGTGAAGATCTAGATGGACTGTGATAATATCTGTTTCTCCATGTTTGGATGGAGGGTTTTGAAGGGGAAGGCTTTAGAGGGCTTATCGTATGTTTTGATAAATGCTCCCTCCATCTCAATTCTCAAAATAAAGTTATTGTTGTTTACGATAAATTTATTTCAAAATTGATATGGATTTGAAAAGTAAAAATTACTCCATATATATTTAAAAACTACATTAAAAGTTCTACAAAACAAAAGGTGATAAGGTTATTTTATTTTATCAAATGAGTAGTGGAAATTGGCAAAGAAAGAGGTCAAACTTTGTCCCCATGCATAGTAAATATGAACTTTTAGGGATGGAGGGAGTAGAATGTTTCTAAAAAGAATAAACGGTAATTGAAATGTCATCTGATCACATATAATGTTAATCTTTTAAATACCTTAAAATCTCAAATATATATCATGACACAGACTAAGCCCTTCAAACACACCATCCATGCACACATATTATTGTCCTATTCATGGAGTAACAAATAAAGCAGTCAAAATTACTCTAGATTTGTTGTATAAGCTGTGCATGAGGATGATTCAGTTGCTTGTCTCTGTTTGTTATCTTGCACACATATTTTGTCGTCATTATTGTGTTTTAATGGTGCCAAGCAGGCATTAGTTTCTCGTATTTGAACTATTCTATTGTTAACTTTTGGAAAACAGCCCTGGAATCATGCTGTTGATATATACCCAAGCTAGTTGTTATGTTCCATTGAAGATTCTTTCTATTGAGGATGGGACGGTTCTCAAATCTTTCAACCATCTGCTTAATCGGAATAAGAAAGTGGATTTCATTGAGCAGTTCAATGAAAAGCTACTTATCAAGCAAGAGAATGAGAATCTTCAGATTCGTGATGTGAGTGCTTTAAGCTATGTTTGGAACTCAGAAAGGGGTAGAGAAAGGGGAAATTGCTGAAAAGTACGAACAAACATACAGTTTTGATCAAAACATTCTAAAAGTTGAACACACAAAGAATTTAGATTTCTTTAGCTGTAATAAATCCCCCCCTCCCCCCCCCCACCATAATCACCACATAAAGGAAAGTTGTGTTTATCTCCAAATATCCACTCTATAACTGTTTTTTCCCTCTAGCATTTCTGAGTTCCAAAATGATATGGAGCCCGGAAAATGATAGAGATGAAAGCGTGGGAAATTTGGAAAGAAAGAAAATTCATGTGAAATGATAAATTTCATTCAAACTCTACAACTTAAATTTAGATATATTTTTTTCACACAAATTTTCCTTAGCATATCTCCCCCCTCCCACCATCTTTTTTGTTCCAAAGATAACCTTAGTGTGTGATGTAGTGGTTTCCCCACACCCTTCTTAAATTTCTCACTATAATTCACCGAGAATACTTCGCAAATATTTGACATTTAGGTCTGCAGTTCAGAGTTGACAGAAGTGAGCAGAACTGAGTTCATGACCCCATCGGCGTTCATATTTCTGTATGAGAACCAGCTGTTCTTGACGTTCAAAGACAGAACCGTTGCGGTTTGGAATTTCAGGGGCGAACTTGTAACTTCATTCGAAGATCACCTTCTATGGCATCCTGACTGTAACACTAACAATATTTACATTACTGGAGATCAGGACCTCATTATCTCCTACTGCAAAGCTGATTCTGAAGATCCCCTATCTGAAGGAAGTGGTAAGAGACCTGTGTTTCTCTGTTTTTTAGCATATCTGTTATGAATCATTAGAGATTCTTCCTTTTTGTTTGCTTATAAGTTTTTAACAAACTAAGGTCACTCTGGGTTGTGCAGCAGGTTCCATCAATGTCAGCAACATACTGACAGGAAAGTGCCTGGCCAAAATAAAAGCAATCAAAGGCGCGACACCTGGCGATTGTGATGATAGCCACATAAGACAAAACGAATCAAAGCGAATCCGAGCGTCCAGAGTTAGGACCTCTGTTGCAGAAGCACTGGAAGATATCACTGCACTCTTCTATGATGAAGACCGCGACGAAATCTATACCGGGAACCGGCTTGGCCTGGTTCATGTTTGGTCTAACTGAGAGTTACAGCCTTTGCTTGTTGTTTCTCCTCCACAGTACAGATATGAAGGGTTTGTAACATTAGACCTCCAAAGTTGCACGGATTCTTTACGTGCAACATGTAACTAGCCCTATGTTTGTGTCATATATTTGGCATTCAATAGTGTATATATAGTTGATGGTTTGTATTTGGTTTCTTCTAAGGGGCAAAAGCCCCTTTGAATAAGACAATACTAACCCCATACATTATTTGTGATGGATAGTGTAAAGTTTTTAATCTTGTAAGCTTTCCCACCTCTTGTTATAGATGGATGAATTGTTATACTTATGGGTTCTGTCTTCTGTGTTTACTATTTCCCAAGTTTTCCATAATTTTTTCATCATTATTATGTATTGTAAATCTATTTTGTGGTATTCTTTTTGAGGAAAGTTTTCGAAATGTGTAGAATAACATTATGACTTGTTAAAAAGTCAGATAGAGCTTGTACAAAAGTTTCCTTCAATTGATTTTTTTCGAGTAATTCTATAATTGCTTCTTTATAAAAGTGGATTCCATATTTAATCTTCTTTTGTCAAATACTCCGTATTACCTTAATGGTCTTTCTTTTATACGTAGTAATTATCTTTCTATGAATAGTCTTTTTTTGATTTTATGTTATGTTGGTATTTAATTGAAGAGTAAAAGTACGGAGTATAACTTTACAATAATCATATATTTTTCTTGTCATAGCTAATACCAAAAGTCGTGTTGTCCTAAAAATCGATATCAGAATACATGACAAGCTAGATATAAAGTTGATGTCGTGAATTTACATTTTTTTGTTCTCAATTTAACAATAAAAGAAAAATATTAAAAAGGTACTATGTGTGGAGAAGTACTCCCACGAAGTAATGTTTGATAATTGAAGACTAAATATGAAAAATCTCTGTTATAATAAACCAAGTTGGAAATTTGCTTGTTTTTTAATAATCCAGTAGTTGGTGCTTGCGCTCTCTTATTCTTGGGGTATTTAATCTGCCTTATTTGAACCACTGACAGGTGAATTTGAGCCTAATATTATTGCTCCTCCATTTTTTAATTAAATAAATTAATTAGATAAATAAATCTATATTAATAAAGTGTGAAATATTTTATCTAATTAATATATACTCCATAATATATATTTTATTTGTTCAGTTTTGACAGATAAAATAATATTTGAAAATATTTGATATAATAGATCTAAAAAAATTATTTTGTATCAATATCTAATAATATTTTTATTTAATTTGAAGTAAAAATTTATTAATTTTGACCAAAAAAATCAAAATAAACAAATACTCAGAGACGGAGATAATAATGTTTAGAAAGTATTTGACACATAGATCATTATAATAAAATTATTTTGTATTTACATGTAATTTAATTTTATATTTTATTTGTTAAACCAAAATTAATCTACTTTGGTTGTAAAAATTAAAAATTGACAGATATCTTAAAAGTCCTAAGATGGTTGCAACAATTAATTTATGAGAAATTTACCTAAATAGGACTAAAACATAATGATTTTCCCAATATATGACCATATGTTTTTATTTCCCAATGTAGGACCTTTGGTCATTATCATGTAGTCATTATTCAACTAAATGCACATCATTACTGGACATTACTCCTCCCACTAGGTCATTATTAAGTCCTATTTAGGGAATAACAAAATTTAAGTACTACATTGAAAAAATCATTATGTTTTAGTCCTATTTAGTGCAAATTTCACTTAATTTATTTCTATCCTATGATTGGGAGGCATATAAATATAAAGTACGGAATCGTACGCGATTTTCATACCCTAGATTTTTTTCCTAATTATTGGATTTAAAAAAATATCCAAATATTAATGTGTCACTGCTAGCAAAAACTTCGTTAGTAAGGTTAATACAGCTTGACAACAACCTGTCAATTAAAAACATTACCATTTTTGGTCATTCATTTTTTATCTATCCCAAAAATAAATATTATTCTGTGTACTTTTAAGGAAAAAAATTGAATAATATTAGAGTTGCAAACAACTTAGACACAAACTACACAAATTTACGACCATTTGCGTATCTAAATTATATTTAAATTATTATTATTTATTAATTATTTAAAATCATTTTATTAATTTGGGAGAGTGCACAAACAGAAAGTTTATAGAATTTGTATCCAAATTGTTTGCGACTCTAAAATTACTCTAAAAAATAATATGACCTAGAGTTTGTTTTAAAACAATTTTAACAATTGAATTGATCGTGTTACAAATATTAGATAATCATGTCAAATGCAAACGATACTCAAGAAAGTTATTTCCAAAGAAGACGTATAAAATTTCTATATGTTAACAAATTCTACCTTTTTTTCCCTCATTTTCACTACTTTTTTTAAAACTTTGATCTCCATAAATTTTACCAACTATCTTTATTTATTTATGTTATTTATTTTATAAAATAATATAATTACGGAGCAAAGTTACGTTTTACAATCTTTTATTATTCCACCATGTTTCACAAATAAATAGATTTTCTTATAAGAATAGTCAAACAAGGGACATACGGAGTATATATATATATATATATATATATAAGGTACTCCTTATTTAACGAGAAAAACAAAAACAAATTAATTAAAGAATCAAGATAATTAAACACCACTAGTACTATGGCAACACTCCTTATTTATGTAAAAGTTGACCAAATCTAAATTAACAAAAATAACAACTCATCACAAAATATATATCCCCATTGGGATAAATGAGAGCCAATAATGATTAAACCTCCTTAGGAAGCTTCCAAAAAAGAAAACAATAAATTCGGATTTTTCTTCTTTTTTTTCCTTCTCTTAATCATAAACAGACTGCAATTAATTAAATCAAATCTTCTACCATGATCCATTCTCTTTCATGAATCCTAAAACCTATATATATATATATATAACAAAACAGATCGGCCGAGAAACAGGATTAGAATAATTAAACCTGGGAATTGGATTATTATTATTATTAAAATTCGGGTCCGGCCCGGTCCGTGTTCTTCGGGAGGATGACGAAAGACCCGATGAGAAAGTGCTCCCAATGTGGGAGCAATGGGCACAATTCCAGGACGTGCTGCAAAGGTTGTACCAGCTTCAAGCTCTTTGGGGTCAAAATCAATGTCGTCTCCGATGAATCGCCGCCGCTGCCGCCGCCGTCCAATAATATTAATAATAATGTCTCTTCTATTAGGAGGACCAAGAGTCTCGAGAGCCTCCTCCCGCCGGCGGCCGCCGATCACCGCCGCGACGCACGTTACCTCTCCTCCGACGATCTCTTCCTCCATTCCGCCCGCTCCTCCTCCAAAAAAGGTCCGTCCCTAATTTTGTTTATTCTAAGACATATTTGTGCATGTTTACGAAGAAAGTCTGACAAAATTTGATTGATGTAAAAATAATCTTTTTTTTGGTATCGACTCGATCTAAATGTGTGCTTTGGTTTTGAATTGTCTCGGGAAACTTTTTTGTTTTTAATTTTTTAATCTTTGACCATAAATCAAATATAGTTTGAATAAATAAACATCATAAAAATTTGATATATCAAAATTAAATCTTAAGATAAATCCAATCATATTGAATTTACATTAAAATTAAATATATTTTTTCACAATTTATGGTGAAAAGTGTCAGTATTTAACAAAAAAATCAAAACATAAAATATTTTCCGAGTATTTCAAAGTCTGATCCAATTAATTAATTAATTAAGGGGGGGGGGGGATTTAATTATAGATTATACTAATTTTGTGGGATTGAATGAATAGGGAGCACATGGAGTGAGGAAGAGCACAGGGCATTCTTGGTAGGGCTGGAGAAGCTTGGGAAGGGAGACTGGAGGGGGATTTCTAGGACATATGTCCCTTCAAGGACTCCTACACAAGTGGCCAGTCATGCCCAAAAATATTTCATTAGAATCTCTTGTTTGGATAAGAAGAAGAGGAGGACTAGTGTCTTTGACATGCCCCTCAATCAAACTACAACCACATCCACAACCACAATGGTAATATTCTACTCTTTTTTAGTTCCCAAAAGATTGCTATTTTTAATCAAATTGTGACATCTTTTGACCAAGAATTAGATATAGTTTAAAATAATTAAATATTATAAAAAATTTATATTTCAAAACTATATTTTAAAATAAACTTGCATAATTCACCGTCAAAGGGTGTCAAAATTTTACCAAAAAAATCAAACCGTGGCAATCTTTTAAGGATAGAGGGAGTTTGTACGTCTTTCTTTTTATAACTTTTATAATTAGCCTCTTGTTTTTTTAATGATTTTTAAAAAAGACTACTCCGTAATACCGGAGTATATACTATCTTCGTCCCAAATATTCTACGGAACATGTTTTAACTTTTACCGAGTTTAAAAAAAAGTGTTAAAAAGTGAAAATTATAGGGAAGCTAAAAGCTAAATTTGTGGGTGTACACAGGAGCAACAGAATGGAGCTACACAGGGGATTATTCCATCTCCATCTTCTGATGAACCTGCTCCTCATCCTGATCCCCCAAAGCAGGTAATTTCAACAGGATGAACAATAAAGTAATTTTGTGTTTTTGTTTTCCTCATCCAAACATGGCCTTATGGTTCTTACATTGTTGAAATGGTTTATTTTCTTTTTTTTTCTTTTCTTGATGATCATATGTTATATATACAGGCTACTACTAGTACTAGTGTCTCTCCGCCTTCGAAAAATGACGAATCCAATGCAAAGGTGTGTGGTAAATTCGATTCACATTTATCGTCTTGTTTTTTTTTCTTGAATACTCATTACATTAAAATCAATGAAAAAAGATAAATTTTTCGCCGTTAAATTTTTAACTTTCGGTAAAAGTTAGAATATTTTGTCAGAGATGTGCGCGTGATTTCGACCACTTTACCTCTCAAGTCAAATCATATGCACATCTTTGACTGAAATATTTGCTAATCTTTAATAAGTAAATAAAAGTGGGTTATATGTTATGAATGTGCTGATTTTTACATCAGGTCCTTGAAAGAGTTGATGATAATAAAGGGCTACAAAATCCTCCAAAAGGCAAACCATATTCAGTCTCAAAGCACCAAAGGCCTCCCATTCCACCCCCACCTCTTCTTGTGGTTCCAAGCTTTAATTGCATGCCTTACATGGTAAAAATATACTAACTCTGTAAATCTTTCCAAAACCTTTTAGATTCCCTTTTGGTATATGGAATTCAAACTAAGAAATTGAAATTGGGGACTTCAATTCCAATTCTGGTGTTTGATAGTACAAAAATTATGTGGATTTGGAATTGATAGTGCAAAAAATAAATTAGAATTGGCAGAATTCAATTCTATGGAATTCAATCCCATGGAATTTCAATTCCAATTTAATTTCAATTCCACCAATTCCGTATACCAAACGGACCCTTACTATAATATTTAAAATCACTGTTCCCCTATAGTTTTTACTATAATTTTTTTTCCCACAATTTTCTTTTAGTTCTATTAAAAATTCACTTTCATCCCATTAATTTTTATCATACTTATCACATGACATATTTTCTAAAAATCAAAACAATAAGTATTTCTCAATGACATGAATATCAAACTGTGAAATTTATCTTCTTAATTTTTTTTTAATGTTTTCTGGAACGCAGTCGGGGAGAATGATTCCGGCGGTGTCGTGGGCCCCCCTCCCGCCATATCCAAATCAAAGGCACGGCGGTTATGGTGGCAACTTCCACGGACACTATGCCGCCGCCTCTTGTGTGCAGTATATGTCGTCGTCCCCTCAATCGGCGGCTCTTCCGCCGCTAGCCAGTGGTCCTCCGCTGTCTTCAAAGCAAGATGGCTTGCACCTCCCTTTCGGAGCACTTACACTGTGATATGCCCCGCCGGCGCCGGCTGCAAATGGGATTTTTCCTTAGAGCGTCCCAAACAATTTTGAGCAATATATAGATGAGTTGAGTCTATTTTTTTTGTTTCTTGTTTTTTTTAATTCTTTATTATTATTATTTGTATTATTAATACTACCATTTTTGCAAATTAACCTTTAATTTGTTTCTGTTACTTATACCTTGCTTGAGATACAAAAAAGTTCACTCGTTTAACGCTTTTTAAATTTTTTACTTTATTTTATTTAAAGATTTATAGCGAAATAAAATTATACATTTAAAATTTATGTCAAAAAGTCTATAAAATAAAATTTGAAAAAAATATTTTACTTTATCAAATAATAAATAGAAGCTCAGAAATAAACAAAAATTTCTTTGATTTTTATATAGTAAAATGTGACATTTTTTATGACAAAAATTCTTTAAAAACAAAGATAAAAGGCCAATCTCAAAATTAAATTTGAAAATGCTAGGGTACGCCAAAAGTATACTTCATTCATACATCACCACTCTCTCCACTACACATTCCTTGATGTGGATAAGAAGAGTGTGAAGTGGATAAAAGATATGTGGTTGGGAGATTAGTGATTTAGATTTGAGGTACACCTCTACCCCTAGCATTACTCGAAACTCAACTCAATAATGTCACACTTTGGACTAGATTCAAGCATGAGCACGGGTCCCGAGTATAGATGCGGCCCACAAAAACCGGTTCACGAAATAAAATGTTTTGGTAGCTTTGATATGAAATTTGCTTTGTAAATATTATGAGTAGCGCTATCGTGAATATGAAGTCTACTCCCTTCATCCCTAGTACTTGTTTTGATTTATAATATCTGATCAAAGTTGTTTTTAATTTGTTTTATTTGAAAATTATGTAAGAATTAAAAAAAAATTAAATTTACATATCAAAAAGCTACCAAAAAAATTTACAATATTTTCAATATATCATTTTATCAAATGAATAATGAAAATAGATAAAAAAAAATGAATAAAATTTACCATGTTAATAGTGAACATACAATACAAATAAAATTTTACCATGTTAATAGTGAACAGATACAATAATTTGGGATGGGGAAATGAGTTTAGGTGTGAAATTTCTCATATTCAGTTTTAAATGTACTTACAAAAAAATTAGACGTGTAAAAGTGTACGAAAAATTGTACAAAAAACACCAAAAAAGTAAATGTTTTAGAACTTTCGAATATATTCATTTCGTTCCATAAAGTTTCTTACATTTTCTTTTTTTGAGTGTCCCAAAAAATATAGAGTACGTATTATATTTCTTATTTTGGTAATGAATATGTAATTACTAACAATTACTCCGTATCTTTCTTTTAAACAAATTCTAATTACGCACTTTTTACTTTTAACAATTTTCTTATATTCTATGAATTTAAAGTGTCAAAGATTTTATGGACATAAAGAGTATTTCGTTGCAGTGAGCATTTTTTGCTATACCCTAATTGTTATGTGCACACAATTTGAAATATAATTCGACCTCTTATACATTGTACATATACATCAATAATTAATCAACCAAAATCCATTTAAGTATACTGGTTTTGAAAAAGACAATTGTAAGCACCAAAGTAGAGTAGAGTTTGTTAATAGTGCACACATGTTCTCAAGAAAATATTTTATGATTTTGAAGACCCCTAGCACTTTATTCATCACTTTGGATTGCTTCAAAACATTTATTCTACACTTCAAACTCTTTTTGGAAGGTTTTAAAAAAAAGAAAAAAAGAAAAAGAAATATATCTGCTCTGAATTCGGAACAACTCAACGAAGCAAATGTTGTTACCATTTCTCTTAATAGAAAACTCGCTTTTCAATGACTCGAATCCAACCTAAAGAAAGAACGTTGTGACAATTTTACCCGAACTATTCTAACAAAATTCATGGTGTGAGAAATAATATTAGTACAAATAAGGAAAGTGAGACTTTAATATTGGGATATAACACATTTCAATTCATATGAAATATGTTATATCCAAAACATGAGTTTGCCCCTATCACAATGCCAAACAAGTGCTAAAATGAAATTTCTTCACAATGCCAGACATACCAATCACTAACAACAAACAATAAAGTTATAAGCTTTACTGGGTAAAAAAATGTCTAATGACTTTCTTCTGATGCAATATTTATACGCGATAAACGAAACCTCGCACTCGATGTGTATCACTCTGCAAATTCAAGAGTGCCCTTTGAAACGGGTACGATCAGTGTGGGGCCAAAGCATGATAGCGCCTAGGTTGAGCAGCAGCCACTATTCTGGTTAATGGGCTGCCCTGAGGAAAGCTTCACGCTTGGTGGCCTGGCATTGCTCCCGGCCGGTTGGTTTGCCATCCTGCACAAGGTAGCAACAGAGTGTTATCCTGATTGGGGACAATGGCGTGATGAATTTAAGTCGGTTTGGCAATGACTAAAATGGATGAAATGGTCAAAGCGACTGAATTCTGCTAGCAATGACTAAAAATAGATGAAACGGTTACTCCCTCCCTCCGTCCCTGAAAGTAGTTCTTGTTTGTTTTTTCAGAAAGTTTAACAAGAGAGAAATAATGTATCATTCATTTCTTTCCCCAAATGTAATACAAACTTCTTTTTGGGGCAACTAAAAAAGGAAGGCAAGGAGTTCTTTAAGGGACAGTGGGAGTATACTAAAAGTGAAAGTACAAATGTCAATATCAATAATTTCAGCCAAAATATAGCTATGACTGATAAAAGGAGAAAAGGGTTAGCCAAACAGACTCTTAGCAAATATTGCATCATTATTTTAATCATCAAAACTCAATAGTTCAAGAAAGTCTAATAATAACAATACTTAATGACTAAAAGTCTTGAATAAACACATTCTCAAGCACTTGCATTAATGAGAAAATAAAAAAAAACATACCCAAGGGATTTGGCAACTATTCATAAAAACACGTAAACTAAGATATAAATAAGCCAAACAAAGTACCTCTTCTTTATATTGGCCGACATTGCCATGAAGGCTTGTTCAACATTATAGGATCCCTTTGCACTAGTCTCCATGAAAGGAATGCCAATTTCATCAGCAAATGCCTTTAAAGATTCAACCACAATGCTTTTGTTTGTCAAAGAGAACATCCACTCCATTGTATAACAGGATCCATACAAGAGTTTTTAAAGTAAAAGTATAAATGATACCTTAGCAGTATCATATGATACAGCCCGGTTTTCAGTCAGGTCAGACTTATTTCCAACCAGAAGCTTGTTCACATTATCACTTGCGTAGCGATTAATTTCATTCAACCATTGCTTAACATTGTTGAAGCTTTCTTGATCAGTAATGTCATATACTATCTGTGAAAATTGCAATGCATATGGTTGGAAAAAGTTGTCAAAGCATGAAAGAAACGGATTGTGATCTAGAAGGAAGCATACAATGATGCCATGTGCTCCTCGGTAGTAACTACTGGTAATTGTCCTAAAGCGTTCTTGTCCAGCTGTGTCCCACTGCCAGTTACAGAACGAGGCAAAAATAGTCACATCAAAATATCGCCAATGAGAATCAAGCATATGAACATCATAGATCAACAAAAATGTGCAGCAGATGGACATTGAAATGCAACAAAAATGTGCAGCGTGTGAAATTTAAGACTCGGAGGAGAACTCAAAGTTCTATATCAGCAAACAGTAGTAAACTAGTGATGGTGAAGGCTAGAAGAAAAATTATTTTGTACCAAAATATATCACAACCCGTCAAAAGTATAAATATATACTCCCTCCGTCACGCAAAAAAAATTGCTCTCCTTTTTCATCCATTCCACAAAAACTTCACTTTCTTTTAAAGGAAAGGAGTATATGGCTCAGAAAGTTTCTCTCTTCTTAACAAGTGTCAACCACATTTTTTGAACTCTTCAACACTTTTCATAAGCTCCGTGAAATTGTGAAAATCAAACACAAAATATTTTTATGTTACGTAGACAGTGAAAGTGAAGACTGGAAAGCTCATACAATTTGAAGTTTAATTGTCTTCCCATCTTGCTCCACAGTGCGAATTTTCTGCAAACCAGAGATTCCAAACAGATTAGGTTAGTTATCCTGCTACAGTACAAGTTGAGCCTTAAACAAACTTACAAAGTCAACACCAATTGTGCTAATGTAGCTGTCCAAATAAGAATCGTCCTGCAAAAACAAAATTGAAGTTAATAAGTAGTGAAAATGCACATCTAATAGAGGTGCAAATTTTGCATTTGAACGTGTATAGAGGTGTGAGGTGCACATTTATGCTGCATCAGACGTACACCGTATTTCTTTATCCAGAAAACTTGAAAGTGCTAGTCGTATTTAGGTTCCGATTGGAAACCAGAAAAATGACTTCGGGAAGTCATTTTCCTGATTTTCTTCTGTTTGGCACCGTATGGAAATTGAGGTCAATGGAAAAGGAAAACTTGGTCAATGGAAAATGACATCTAAAATCCGGAAATTGACTTCTGCTTTTCAAAAGAGGAAGTCATTCTACGCTCCTATTTTTCGCTTCATTCATCGTCTTCCCCGTGCCCTTTCATTCACCGTCACCACAACCCCACATCGCCGTTGCCATCCCAATTGTTTCCACCACTCCAATCATCAACCTCCATCGTCTCCACCATCCCACACCGCCGCCACACCAATAATCATCCTCCATCGTTTCCATCACATGCCCAATTTCACAATTAATAGTCCCTATATTTGTTTATCCATCATCATCATAAAAATTTGCTCTTCAACATCGTGAATGGGGGATTCCAGATTATTACTTTTGCTTGGTTAATTTGCTCTTCAAAATTGTTCGTGTTCTTTTTTTCAGCTTCGTATACCCAACATCTTCTTCGACCCGGGCTTTTCTTTTTCTTTTTTTTTTTTTTTGCTTTGGATTTTCATTTCCCCAAAATTAGCCAAACATATACACATAATTTTCAGACTTTTAGACCAAACACCAGAAAAGATAAAAGACTTCATAAAAATATCTCTTTTTCCAGAAGTCATTTTCCAAAAGTTATTTTCCTGGTTTCCAAACGAAGCCAAAATATTCTGTATTTTTTGGGGGGTAGCTAAGAAGACCGCAAGTAGTAGATGAGGAAGGCATATTCTGATTCATACATATTACTCTGTTGAATTGCCAATTGTATTGCCCCGTATTTTCTTCATTTTCTTGAGCTGATGGTCTTTCAAAAAAATTCTCTTTACCTACTTACATGTTCTAAGCACATCCAACATCCCTAAACCCCACTTTTGGGACCTCACTGGGTTGTTTTTGTTGTATTTGTTTTTTCGGGTTGCGAGGGGGCCACAAATGCATATTCGTTGTATGGCATCCTTTTTTTAATAAAAAATGGTCGGTATTCTGAACAAAGAATATACCCATCATATTAATGAAGTAAAAGAACGAAGACAAGTATCACTCACAGCAAATCTCAGAAGAAGGCAAGACTTCCCGACACCCGAATCTCCTATCAGCAAAAGTTTGAACAAGTAGTCACTGCACAACATAATAAGTTGCAATGAGCATTGAGCCCCATCTTACCTGTAATAGCTATATACATAGAATTGAACTTCCATTTCTATCTAGATAAGAAACCAGCGAATTTATGCACAAAAGCCTTTGTCTCCTCAACAGTCAACAAACATAAAGCATGAGGTATACCGAAAAGCAGGCATAAAAAAATCAAAGAATTTGAACTTTGACAAATTATTACACATTAAATTAATCAATCCCCATAAAGTGGGAGGGGCTCGACGATATAGACCACAAAATTCGGACGGAGGTTTCAATCGAATCTTCAAAATGTTGATATCTTCGACTTTATTCATGGAATTGAGGTCAGATCAAGTGCAATCAAGCAAAACTTTCTGGGTGGGAGATGCTAAATGAAAACTACAACGTATATTGAACACAATTATGGAGATAAACAGAGATCGAGAGATTACTATTCGGGATTCATGTCGAAGTCGGCTGATCCAACAGCAAATGCCCCGGAGTGTCCCGCTCCCGACGGCCGGAGACAGATTTCGATTTCTGATCGTCGGCGAAGAGAGGAAGTAGAATCACCGGGCGGAGAAACCGGTGATGAATTAGTTCGTGGCAATTTTGGGCACGAACACCGAGTATGTATTTATATTCTCAGAATTTTGTTTTTTTAATATACTCCCTCCGTCCCCAATTTGATTACAAATTGCGGGTTACGGAGTAAAATTTTTTATTTTTTGAAATCAATTTATTTACAAATTAGTATATCAATAAGCTATACAAATTACATATTAAAAAACTACGTCAAAAATTCTACAAAACAAGAGATGACAAGAATATTTTATTTTATCAAATACTTGATAAAATCGCGTAAACAAACAAAAGTTATCGAGAGAAGAGAGAAAAAAAGATTGTAATCTATTTAGGGACGGAGAGAATAGTTTTTTAATTTTTTGAATTCACTCCCCAAAATTAATTAGAAATCATCCTAAATAGGACTAAAACATAGAGAAAAGTACCAAAATAGAACTTTCATGTGTTTTTCCCGAAATAGGACTTTGCATTGTGGTAATGTGACTTTGCATTGTGATAATGTGGCAGTGTACATGTGCAAATTACTATACTTTCTTGGTAATGCATATGACCATGTTTGGTAATGTAAGTCCTATTTCGGGAATAAAAATATGGAAGTCCTATTTCGGTATATCTTCAATGTTTTAGTCCTACTTTGGTTTTTCTCCCAAAATTAATTAAAAAAAAAGGACGAGTCTCGTTCTCCGAGAGTGTCTTCAAATCTGATCGGACAGTTATTAAAAAGACGTAAATTGGATTTTGGTCGCAAATTGGTGGCAATCAGAAATTCATTGAAAACTTCACCAGGTTGAGTACCAATTGGGGTAGGACGTTGATCTTTGTACATTATTAAATTTAGAAAAGAATAAATATATACTAGATTGTATTAGAGTTGAATGTAACATCCTCACATCATTCCTATCTCACATCAAAACTTATCATAATTAAATCAGGTGAAAAGAAAAAAATTCTAAATCCTCCATAATAAATAAAAATCTACAAAAATAAGATTGAAATATGAAATTTATACCAAATTAAGATTTTTTATATTTGTGTTATTAAATGAGAGGTCACGTGTTTGATCCTTAGTCCGGAAAGTAACTTTACGAGCTTTATAGTGAGAATGTATGAACGAATACTATATTGTAATAGAGTTGCTAGTGTTCAAAAAAAATTGGAGTGCTCAAACAATAGCTCCAATTTGGCATTGTGTGTTAGTACGTTTAGTGGTTTTTGGCATTATCTTTTGCTAGTAGCTTTATTTTAACATAAAATATCAAAGACTATATTTTAGTATATTAAACATATAAAAGGATATGGAGAATTCCTTGTGAGTCGAATTTTTACATTATTTGTTTGCACTTCTTTAACTATGTAATATCATTTTTTTTAGTAAACATGTCAATTATATTGTGAAATTTTAGTAAAAAATTTAAAGTAAAAGTTAAATATAGAAAAAGAAATTTAAATAAGACTTTTATATTTTTATATCTAATAAGATGTACAATGACAACCTATAATGTCAAAAAAATATTGTGAATCTCTATATACAATGCTATATTATCATAGTATAGTAATTCATTTTTAAAATAAAAATTCTCTCTATCATTCATATATTGAAGATAACAGAGGTTATATTACTTCAGAATACACGCTACATTGATTTAGAATTAATATTTGATCGATGTATGGAACAATAAATACAAGTGATTGTACAATATATGCTTTTTTTGTCATATTTTGGGTAACATTTATTTTCAAGTATAAAAGGAATATGAAGTAGCAATTTGTGACGTCATAATTGAGATCCCAAAAAAAAAGATGAGCCCCATTCTCGAGATTTCTCTCAAGTCCGGTCGAACGGTCACTAAAATGAGATAAATTGTATTTTAATCGCAAATTGGTGGCAAAGAGTGAGCGTGCACCTGATACTTGCAGAGACCCTATGCTTAGCATTCTCAGCGCAATTGTCAGCAATCGAACTCAATTTTTAACCTTTTGACACTCTTTGCCTTGCCAACGGTGGAACGTCCATATGCATGATTGAGATCCAAGTATAAACGAGTAGTCCGTACATAAGAAATGTAATTGCCATTTACGACCGACAAAGCCGATGGGCGTCTCCTTCAGCGCCAAATTGTTTGGACCGCTCAATCACTGGGCTTCCTTCGGCCTGGTTCTATCAAAGTTCAAAACCCGGCTATGTGATTTCATTTTCCGATGTCCAAGCTAAAAAAATTCGCTCAATTCCTTTGACATTTAAATCAACTTGTATATTTGAATTTAAGTCATGTTTTCCCAACTTATTTTTTATTTATTATTATTGGAACAAGATTATATACGTTCAAAAGTAGTTTTAAATATATACTACATTCAAAATAAATCAAAACAGATCAAAACTTATTCCAATCAGATCAGATGAAGAGAAACATTGCTTACGTTTTACCCTCATAACTAGCCTCTATCCAAGTTTAACTGTTCTCACTCCAATCTATTAATCTACGTCGATTGACATAAATAAAGTCTTGCAGATGAGAGAAAGCTAGAGTGACGTTTGACAAAATTAAAGGGTAGGAAAGGAACAAATTTGTGCCTAATCGAGCATCGTAATGCTTCCTCCTTTCTATCAAGTCATTGTGAGAAAGATTTAAATAGAAATAAAATATATAAAAAGAATCAAAACATAACTTTCATATTTTTGATCTCTAAAATATGACCTAAAATGCCAACATATAATAATATAAAAAAATACGGAGTATGGTGAAATGTCAGTATACCACTTCAAAGATCAGTAATCTTATTTTAGAATGAAAATATACTGTAAATTATACCGAGTAATGTATTTTGGGTCGATTTCTTTTATGGAGGAATTTTTACCACAGTGAGAACTCCCAGAAAAATTCTATTGCCCCCATTTGTGTCTGACGGGCCCCGGCCTGATATAATCCGGGTCGGGCATACAAAGGCCCAAGTCTTATGCTCCATATCGTCTCCTATAAGGCGTCCATACACGAATCTAACCATCATCTTCAACCTCTGCGCGGCTCTCTGGATTGACGATGGCAGAGATGGAAGAGAACGACGAGTTCTACCTGAGGTACTACGTCGGCCACAAGGGCAAGTTCGGGCACGAGTTTCTGGAGTTCGAGTTCCAGTCCGACGGCAAGCTCCGCTACGCCAACAACTCCAACTACAAGAATGACCGCATGATTCGCAAGGAGGTCTACCTCACCCCCTCCGTCCTCAATGAATGCCGCCGTATCGTCGCCGACAGTGAGGTATTCATCCGCCAGAACGCTCGATTTCTCCCTAGCTCAATTCGATTTCTAGGGTTTGCTCTTGTGTTGTTTTGGGGGGTTTTGGTATGTCATAGTCGCATAGATGGATTAAACTCGTTATGAACAGCCAAATATCGATGCATTATGTTAATCGCACTAGGAGATGTTCTTTCTTATGTTTCCTCATTAGATTATCTTGCTTTCGATTTCAACTTACATGGGATCTTGGCTCTCTCTTGGTTGAGAAGGAATGCCGAATTTGTTATGCATAGCACAGTGCAGAGACTATTCCTTGTTGTGCTGATTCTGGGTATGTGTTGATAATAGATTATGCAAGAAGATGACAGCAACTGGCCTGAACCAGATCGCGTGGGGAGACAGGAGCTTGAGATTGTGATGAACAATCAGCACATATCTTTCACTACCTCTAAGATTGGCTCCCTCGTGGACGTGCAGGCCAGCAAAGATCCAGAGGGCCTTCGCATCTTTTATTATCTCGTTCAGGTAAGCCATTTGGGAGATTTTGAGTATTTTTCTACGCTGCCACATAATAAGCCGTGACACATTCACACATAGTATATGGAGAGATAATGCTAGACTTGAGATATTACTATATGGTTTCATAGAACGACCTACCACTTCACAGATTATGCTATGTACTAGGGAAAGCCATAGTAAAGCTTATGTAGTTTTTATATTTTCAATCTCAGAACCATATCGACATCAACACAAAATCAGATGTAGTATAAACATTGGAATGACTAATTCTCATCTTTTAAAATCGTCTCTTTGAATACATGTTTTAAAGAATTTGTTTCACTATATTATAACCCAAAAAGATTTCTCTTTTAAGCACTCTTTTCTCTCGAATGATACTGTTTTAGTCTATCTCAGGCTTTGTTCCAGGTTAATGTTTAATGAGTTATGCAATTGTGACAACTCATTATAATTAAGGCGTCATGTTTGATTATCAGTCATGTGTATTTAACTTTTAGTTTCAAGTTACATTTATCATGTATTATTACACATATAGCTGCTTTGAAAGTTGTCTAGTATCTTCTGAAATGCATGTATATACTGTTTTTTCTTCAATTGAACTGTCTTTATAGTGTGAATTGCTTTAAATTTGTTTAGATTTTTATCCTGGGAGATTATAGGTCTCGGGAAAAACTTTGAGATCTTTCCATGATCCAGTTGCAACATCAATTGAATGTGATTTCTGTTAACTTCTAACCCAAAAAAAAGGATCCACATCTCCTATTTTCTATCCCACCATAATGTTCCAATTTCCCTTCAAGGCAATATTGACGTGGTTCATATTATTTTTCTCTATACTTTGCAAAAATGTCAAACACATGACTCTGGCGTCGCTTCACAAAAGATGGATTCTTAATTATGTGTCTAATTAACATTATGTTCATGCAGGATCTGAAGTGCTTCGTCTTCTCTCTAATCTCCCTCCACTTCAAAATCAAACCCATATGATTTGACACCGTTCATCTCCTCAATGCTGGCCTTTTGTTGAGTTTTTAGCCAGAGTTGGAAGAAATGCAGAAAGGGACGTCTGTAATCGTGCAGTTTGAGTGGAATTGTCAAGAAAGCTAATGTCTTGTAGACCTTATTATAGTACCTTTAGCAGTTGGTTTTGATTTTCTTGGCTTCCTTCCAAGCTTGTGTGCCCAAACTCCAAACTTATGCTTAGCGAATCCATTGATTGCTCATCGAATGCTATGATTCTTAATTTGTGGATTTTATAAAATTTGTGAAGTGCTTCTTTCCATTTTGAATCATTTTGAATGAAATCTTTGCGTATTTTGCTAACTTGTTTTCGAGCTTGAATACCCCCCCCCCCTCCCTACCATGGGACTATTGATGCTTAGAAATGTGAGAGAACAGTTCTTGGTGTGTGATGCTCTATGTAAGCATCATATAATGTGTGAGTATCTATTGAATCAAGCCAGGGGAAATGAAATGCACAAGGGTTCATGGAATCTTATGACTTGACGAAATTGTCCTTTAATTGACGGTATGTGAGCTACCATTACGTCGGTCTCCAAGGGCGATTCTGACATTTTCAAAACATTTCCCCTCAGTTTTTCTCCAATAAGAATAAGAATTCTTATTTTTATTATGGACACACTCCGTATATTCTAAGTTTTTCTCGTTATTTCAAGCTTTTGTTTTTTTTGTTACTATCTCTTCACTCATAAATATTGTAGTAATAAAAAATTCTATTTGTTATTCCTTTTGTCCCAAATGAAATTGTTTGTATACTATTTACATGGTTAATTTATATTCACTTTTTTCATTTATTTTGTTACTCATTTAATAAAATAATGCAGTTATGTCACTTCTTGTTTCTTCCTTAGAGTATTTTATATAATTTTTAATATGTAAATTTTATTTTTGAATTTCATTGTGATTCTCAAATAAATTATATTGGAAAGAGCTCTAGTTAAACATTGTTAACTGAAACAAACAACTTAAATTGATGAAATGCAGGCACTACAAAACTATTACGTCGTATATGATCTATTCGAAAAATGATAGTTGCATTCTACTTTTTGCTATTGACATTCCAAAATATATTATTCAACACTCATACGAATAGTACATTTTGGAGGGTTAATTGTTGTTTTTTATTTTTGGCCAAACATCTACAACTTCTCTGAAGAAATTAAATATCATTTTGGAACGAACAGAGTGCATATGTGGGCCCCATATTTAGATGAAGGTCATATTTCCACATTTCCACTCTTCATTCACTCTATATAAAATACTTGACAAGTTTACTTTATTCTTTTCATATTTATCTCTCCATAAACTAGCTAGTTTCTTCTATCAGTAAGTCTTACTTCAGACGTATATAACATTGTATTGTGGAAGAAGTTTATTTATTTTTTAATTAAAAATTTAAATGTTTAACTAATGTATGATCCACATTTGTAATTCTCTTGGATTTGAAGCCTTGGCATATTGGAAGGAAACATGGGAAGGAGAGCTGACATTATGGACCTTGAAGAGGAGGTAAAAATTTATATGCTTTTGCTACTCCATATTCACAAAGTAAAATCTTCCATACAATTTTTTACATCACACTTTTTTTACCTTGAAGAGAAGGTAAATGTTTATTTTTTTGTAATGAAAAATATCTATCCGGTCACTCAAATATTCTAAAATGGCCGAAACAAAAGAGATTTTTTGTTTCTGTTATGTTATTTTCCCGTCACGGGGAAATTAGACTTTCCGGCCAAGGCTGTCCCCGGCGCCGGCGCCTTCCCAATGCTCTTCACCTTCCGGAGAACAAAAGCTTCAAGATTTCACCTTTCAGCCGCCATTCACCTCCTCAAACCACCGGCTTTCCACCTCTCCACCGCCGCCGAACCCCACCGCACAAGCGCGACAGAACCCCTGACCAAACCAGAGCTCAAAGCGCTCGTTCTCTCCCACTGCAACCACGGCCGCTTCCACAACCTCCTCCGCGGCGTCGTCGCCTCCCCCTCCGTCCTCCTCGCTGCCTGCAACAGCCTTAGATCCAATGCGGAGCCACTCGATTTCGATTCCGTCTCCGCCCGATTCTTCTCCGTCGAAGAACTCGCGGCCCAGATCTCCGATGACTGGCTGGAAATCGAGTCCTGCTGCCGCGCAATCCCGCCGCCGGCGGGTAGAGGTAAGCCGCTTGTTCTTCCCAATTTGAAGCTCAAAGTTGTAATGGAAGCTATCAGGATGGTTCTAGAAGTCGTATATGATGATCGATTCGTCACCTTCTCCTATGGCGACCGGGTCAATTTGGGCCGGCACACTGCAATTCGGTACCTGAAGAACTCAGTAGAAAACCCTAGCTGGTGGTTTACTGTTTCATTCAATCCCGAAAGATTCGGGATCAATCATATAACCAGGCTTTGTTTAGTCATAGAAGAGAAAATCAAAGACAAACCCTTGATTGATTTAGTGAAGAGATTGTTTCAATCTCAAGCTATTAGCATTGATTTTGGTGGTTTTTATTTAGGCAGAGGGCTTCCCCAAGAATGCAGGTTGAGCTCAATCTTCATCAACATTTATTTCAACTCGTTCGACAAGGAAATTCAAGAAATGAGGCAAAAAACAAATCTTGAAAATCCAAATCCGAAACTTGGGATTCGTTATGGTACCACATTCTATAAGCCCCCAAAGATATATGCAGTTAGGTACCTGGATGAGATTCTTGTGATCACATCTGGAACAAAGCGGATGACAATGGATTTGAAAAGCCATGTCGTCAAGATTTTGGAGAAGAACTTAGGGTTGAGCGTCAACAAAGCTGAAACGGTCATTCATAGCCCTGTTTCTGAAAAGATTGATTTTTTAGGAATGGAGCTTCAAGCTGTCACCCCATCTGTCCTAAATCCTCCAATGTCAGAGAAGGCAATGAGGGCAAGAAAAAAGCATCTGAGGCAGAGAGAGGTTCGGCTCTTGGAACTGAGAAACCGGAGAGAGACGAACAGGAAGAAGTTGGGAATGAAGATACTAACCCACTCCTTCAAGAAACTGAAGCGCAGCGAAGATGGGTTCAAATTCGACTTCCGGATTGAAGATGAAGTGAGACAAGTTTTCAAGATATGGTCAGAAGAAGTCGTGAAACAGTTTTTAGAATCTGTTGATGGTCGCTGGGAATGGCACCGCCACCTGACTGCCGGTGATTTTCTTTCATTGGAAAGGATCAGAGACAAACTACCCCAAGAACTCATTCGCGCCTATGATGATTTCCAAGAACAGGTTGAGAAATTCTTGAATCCCACCAAAGCCAAGAAGGCAATAGAAGAGGAAGCAAGAAGATTGGAGGAAGAAGAGGAGAGGAAGTATTCCAAGAGAACAGTAGACGATTTGACAAAGCTATGCATAAAAGCCGATGCGCCGATAGAAGCCATAAGAAAAGCAGTCAAAATGACTGGTTTCACGAACCACATGGGCCGTCCCAGGCCAATTAGTTCACTTGTAGGTCTTGAAGATGTGGACATTGTCAAGTGGTACGCCGGAATAGGGAGAAGATGGCTTGAGTTCTTCTGCTGTTGTCACAACTTCAAGACTGTGAAGACCATTGTGACATACCATCTGAGATTCTCTTGCATTT